TGCATTTGCGTGCGGTGCCATCCCTGCATATTGCCGGGGTTGATATCTGCAATTTAAATCGCATTAATAAATGGCTTCAAATTGGGTAAAAAAACTTGTCCAGACAAAAACAACAGGCTGGAGATTGGATTACCATCTCGCATCATGCAATCGGTGGCAAAGACCTTGCCGTGCGCAAAACATTTTCCACATCGATTTTCGGCTTTTGCTGCTTATATATGACCACGTGCAATTTCCGCTACTTTCCCGAGGCACAGCGAGCTGACCCAGTTTTGGGCTTAAATGACATCTAAATAGCTTCTCCCGGGCGAAGCCAATCTGAGAGGATTTCTGCATGAAAATACGATTTCAGCACCTCAGTCAACACCATTAGGTGATATTGCGTTTTATAATTCAAATTTCATATTACACAAAGTTTCAAGCTGGAAAATCGAAACGCAACCTTGCTGAATATTGACGCGCCCTGTATATTTGCTCTCCACAAATAGACACGACAAACATGACCAAAAACATTTATTTATTTCCATGGGTGCCTCTGAGCGTGCGTGTGAAAAATTACACCGGGCCAAAAGTGTGTCCCTTTACGGCCGTTATTTTGGTGTTTTGAACTCCATTTGCCGACCTGGTGTCTGGTCTAGTCATGTGGTGACACACTGCCATTCTGAAAGCAGAGTGAGTAAGTGCACTTGACGCTACAACAAAACCGTGCACCGCAAAACTCTGGTGTAAGCAATTTTTATCTCTTGGGCATCATAAAAGCGGGGTCGCCTCTCAAATGTGAGTCACAGCAGAGTCAAGACGAAAAAAACACCTAGAACATAAATCATGCACAGCGAGTTGTCTCATCAATTTTTTATCTTATGCAAAACCGAGGCAAAGAACAAAATTGGTTTGAGCTTTTCGAGTGAAAAAATTTGCATTTTATCTGACAGCTCGAGCTTGTAAATTTTTATTGTTGATTATTGAAGTGCAGATGCTGTGAACGGCATTCCGGTCGATAAGTTTGGATCAATATTGCTAATCGTGAGGCCTTGTTCGACACTTTCTGTTCAATCAATAATTTTGGTCATTTATTTCAATTGGAGGTTACGAAGTGTGTGTTGCTTTTAGTATAGGGGTGCTTTTTGGCCTTCAGGATAAAAGATAAAGCTGTTCAATTATAAATTTTTATGAAGTTATTAACGTAAAGTAAAATATATTATTGAAAGCAATGAGGAAAAAAGTATTAAAATTATATACATAATAAAAGCGGAAGACATTTGAAGAAATTAAATTGTAAAAGTTTTATAATTTTAATTTTTTAAAGTTTATGATTATGAATTTTTCACCCTCTATGCGTGTCTTTGGACTTAAACTGTTGCAAACTTTTAGGCTATCTATTGACGTCACTTTTTGCTCCTCTCTCTATGTAATCATTTTGCAAAGTTTTATCATTGCGCCACTTTTTTTCTGGCCAGCTCATGCAGCTGCCTTGCAATTAAGTATGTATCTTGCCTCTCGTTGTGCTTGCTGATGTGGTGGTGCGTTTACGATGTTGACATCAGCCGTGCAGAAGCTGCGCTCTGCAGAACATGCGCAATTTATCTGCAAGCCTGGCGAATTCAGCAGCGTTTTACGAGCACCCTTTTTACCGTTAGGACCGCACACTCTTCACGGAGGCTGGAATAAAATAACTTTTGGGAGATCGCGAGAGAGAACCGCAGCCTTACATGCCGCGTAAATGCACGTGCGTTTTCGCTTTGTTTCGCTCACTCACGTGCGTCGCTTTCAAAAAGCTCACATACACACACACAGACAATCTAATAAGCAGTCCTGAGACCGCCACCGCTTTGTCTGAAAGAGAAAAAATAATAGTGCCCGCGTGACGTCAATTGGCGTGGAATAGAATAAAGAAGAAAATTCGTGCGGGATCACGTTGAAAACTTACAAGCGCTTAAACATGTGCATCTCTCAGCACATTTGGTAATTAATTCAAAGCCACGCTTTTTTACTCCAAGACAAAAGAATTGCATTATTCATTTATTAAACTTATAGAGCTTGTTCAAATTAAAGGGACTGACAACCTTCAGAAAACCAATGTTCCGTAAGTTAACTTTTTTAAATATTTTGGACACAAATGGCAAAAATAATATTTTTATCATCCAACATTCCTTAGTAAACTGAGCTGCTGCTCGCGAAACTAAAGAAATTAATAAATCTCTATTAATTTTGATAAAAAAAACGATCTGTCAGGATTATGATTTTAATTTTTTCTTTAAAGTTTCAGACTAATTAACAGCAGATAGTATTTAATTATTTAAAAAAAGAGCAATTTTACATTTACATCATTAGCAACAGCCATCGGCAAGTCGTCAAGTTTTTCATTAATCACGCGGCTGTGTGTAATTTGTAATTTGCTGCCCGAGCGGTTGAAATTCTCATCATCATGATTAAAAGGAAAATTAGCCGCCTAGCTCTCGCACGGCTCGAGCGTTTTCCTCGTCACGCCCCAAATGATGAAGACGGTCGATTTGCATGCAAAAAATTTGCGTGTGCGTCAGAAATCCTTTTTTGGAGAGGTCCTAGCGTAATGGAATATTATACCACCTAAGCACAAAACGAAAGGGAGATGAGAGAATGCTCCTCATCATTTCATTAACGACAAAAACGTCGCCGAGCAAATTTAATTTCTAGAGAGAGCGCGGCATTATTATTTTCTCGCCTCGGGCACAACTTCATTTATTCTTGCACTCCCGCGCGACACACGTGAAAAATCGCTTGGCTATGCCCTCGAGGACTCTGCTGAATAATGTCTCTCATTTTGCACATTTTCCGAGACAATTTTTCATCGTGCTATGCGACGACGAGCACTGCAGACAGACTCAATTATATGAATGGAGTCGCGCAGGAAGAAAGTAATTGGCCACTTATCGACGGGCTCTCTCTCTAACTTATATAAGAAGCCCAGCCCGGCGGGGCGGAGACCGAATGGGAAATTTGCCGGCTTGATTGCGAGAGTGGCTCATTTTCAACCCTCTTGTTGTCCTGCACCGTCAAACGAGCTCAATTACGGCTACTTCTCAGAAGTGCTCATCATAGCAGGAAATCTGATAGTTGGGTGGATATTGCTATTATTAACTTGTTAGACACACGACATTCACTTAGAATAAATCAATTTTTTTAACATTAGAAACTTGTTCGCTGGAAATAATTCTATTCTACTTCAAAGCTTAGCTTAAATTAAGCTTTTTATATTTCAAATTAAAACATAATTTTGTGTATATCAATTCAAACTTAATGAAGAAATTGTTAAACAAATTCATAACGCAATTCAATAATCAAATCAGAATCACACAAGATATTTTAAATTTAGGGAATAAGTAATAATAATTTACTAAAATGTTTTATTGCACCACAGAAAAACTTTTAATCATTTTGATTCTAACAATAAGAGTAGGAAATATCCAAACTTCCTTCGTTTTCAGTTAATTTTGAGGTATATAAATTAGTAAAGAAGATTATATGCAAATTTGGGCATCAGTTGATAAATCCCAGCCAATCACCAATAACGGGGCGTGTAAAACGCGCTCATAATTTATCCTAATTTTCCCTGCTGAACGAGAGAGCATTTTCCCTCAATTGCACGAACGCTGCGGTTGCGAAACTCATGTGCCACTCCTGTGTGCACCTACAGTGTCAGGGGGGCTGTTTCGTCCGTGTGCCAGAAATTGCCGGCGAATCGATGTGCACGACGGCTGAATGCTGACTGGCCGGGCAAGCTAAACCCCTGCAGACTTTTTGCCAACTCTTTTCATCTTTGCCAGTTGCCTAGCAACCCTCTCGAAGCCAGGCTCCTTGCACCTTTTTGCAATTGTTGTACGGCTTATTGCCTATAGCCGCGTGATTGTTTTCTTGAATCAAATCTCCGGATCCCGGAAAATACTCAACGCATATAATCTTGAAGGTTGCTGCTCTTGCAAAAGCAGACGGCATTATTGACTGCCAAGCAGGCGCCTTCTCGACTTTAATGAGCAGGGTGAATATCTTCTTCTCGTTTATTATAGTTTAGCCTCCGCTGCTTGGTAAATGTCGAGCATCAGCCAATTTGTGTCAATGTCACGAGACGTGCAGGGACGGCTTTGGTGTAATAAAACGCTGGTGTAGTCTTGGGACGCCTTTTTTGATGATGAGCTAGAAGCTTGACTCGCATTTCCGTGACATTATTGCTCCCGCGGGAGCCCGAAATCTGCCAGAAATGAGCCGAGACGATGGCCCTTTTGTGTTGGGAGAAGGGTAGAGAAACATTTTGGACCACAAAACCAGGCCTTAATAAAAGAATATCTTTCTATTATATTCTTTTCCCCCACCCCTTCCCAAGAGAAAAAAATCAGAAAAATCAAAAGACGAAAAATACAGCTAGCATATTTTATGAATTTTAATAAAATTGATGATACTTTTAGGTGATTTTTGTTTGTTTATTTATTTATTTTTATTGCATTATTTAAGAATCATTACAAATTGATGGTGTATTACATGATTAAAAATTCAGTGAATTTACCAAGCTCTTTTTAGTAAAGTATGAGAGAGAAATAAGATTAATAAATTACAATCAAAATTGTTTACTCCAAAAAATGTTTTTTTAATTAGAAACTGTCGTAATTTGTATAATTAATTCAAATAGTATATTTCTATTATGCGAAAATCAAAGAAATTGCATGAGACCAAAAAATACAACTACTTTGCAATTTCAATTGTTCTCATTTCTTAAAGTTAAACAATTACTTGCTCCTCTTTTGCGCATCATTTGGCAGAAACAATAAGAGACCGGTCACGCTACTGTTCTTTCAATTGAATTTTAGAAAGCATCACCGCGCAAAAAGAATAAAATGTTTATGTTTGCCATCGCCTTCGTACAAGCATTCCCCGAGACCGCCCAAGCGCCGAAAGCTGTAAACAGATTGAATAAAAAATTCATTCACGCTGTTCGCCCCTTCTGAATGGTATTTTTGTGATTGTTGCAGATCTCGCAGACCGGCATGGGCAGCTCCATTGGCAGCCTCTCTAAATAATTCAATTCATTATATTCGCGATGTCCCCGCCGCGGGTCAGCAGCCACTCGCCAGAACCGGCGTCTTCGCCAAGCAAGAAACTGTCCTCGCCGCTGCAAATCAACGGCATCAATCAGCTGAACGGCCATGTGGCCATCGAGCCCTACAAGATGAACGGATTCGTGCCCGAGGACAGCAACAACCGACTCAACGAACTGCTCAACTCGGTGGTCGAAAGGACCGACTCGCCGACGCTGTTGTTGAGCAGGAAGATCGAGGAGAATCAGGAGAATGGCGACGTCCACGAGGAGGACGAAAATAAGGCGAATCTCAAGGAGGAAAAGGCCAAGGACAAGTCGATTGCCAAACTGGAGTCTCTCCTGCACACGGCCAACCAACAGCTGAGGCTGCGGAATGAGGAGGTGGACCGACTCAGCAGGATCAGGAACGAGGTGGAAGCCGAACTAGAGGAACTTACTGCCAGTCTCTTTCAGGTAAAAATGCAATTTTGGTACATCATTTTTTAACCATTAATTAGATTAACATTAAATCTTTTTTGTTCCAAACTAAAATTTAACAAAGATTTGGTTTTTCAAGTGCTGATGATAATTAAAATATTTTATATTCTATTTTATTTGCTGCTCATTTATGTAATTAAATTTTAAGATAAATAATTTTCCCCATTAAATTGAGGTGTGATTGAATTGTAAGTGTCAATGATCTAATTTTGATTTAACCTTTCATTTATTTATTTTTTCATTTAACATATTTTTATTTTTGCTTTTTAATATCCGCACACTTCCTGTTGTTTCTTTTAAATCTTTTTGTGTGTACTTTTTTTACCTATATGGTTGATTGGAGCAGCGTCACAATAAGTCATGCTCTTTGCCCTGCGTGGATCCTCTCTGTGCACCAAGAATACCACGATATATATCCAATTTCAAGTTCAAGGAACAGGTTTTTGGTTAAGTTCACACTTGGTTGACTCGCGCTTCCTGCCGGCGATTTCAATACCACCGCTCTCTCTCCCCCATAAATACCTGTTGGTGGTCATGTTGCATTTTTTGTTTGTAAAAACAGGTCTATTTTCACACTCATTATTTAATTAGTGAAGAACTTTGAGAAAAGATGATTATTTTATTTTATATGGTAATCACTTAAACGTGATCCGCCTCACGTTTTTTTTTTTTATTTATTTATTAATTTTTTTGCATATTTTACGCAATTTTTATGTAACTTGTGGCACTGACGAAAACCGCAGTTACTCAATGATGTTATGCAAAATCAAATGAAAATTTCCGCTTCTTTATTTTTGGACTCTGTCACAATGCACGCACCGCTCTTATTACTTTAATTAGCGTGCGACACTTGACAGGTTTCACCGCAGCAGTTGCGTAAATATTTAGAGCAATTCCAAATAATGCTTTTACACTTGCGGGTCAGCCCATTATTTTGACGCCTTACATAATTAAGTTATAATATACAAGAGTGCGAAGACCTCAAAACACGTAAACCTGCCTGAAGTTGGCTACAAGAAAAATTAGAAAAGTGTATTTTATTTCAAAACTACACACAATTTCTGACCTTAATGATTAAAGTTAAATTATTAAATCGGCGTTTACAAGAGAAATCCGTGCCTTTCATCCTTATCTTGCTGTCCGACTTATTCTTTCTCTCTCAACGCCCTTCTTTCCTTTCGTATATAATTTTTCAAGGCACGCTATATGAGCAATATCATGCGGAAGTGATATGATAAGCAGGAAATGCGAGCGCACCAGACAAACAAAAACCTTCTTTCAGCTTTTACTAGCACAGCAGGGCGTTTTCCTTATTGAAAATGAGCGACGACGGGGAGGAAAGTGAGCAGCGAAAACCCTCGTGGAAAATGCTGCTCACAGGTGGGGTCAAACAGGGTCATCAAAGGTTACACACAATAAGTGACGGGGGCAAACCCCAAAGGCTCGAACGACAGCTCACTCGAAGTTTGCGCGAACTTGAGTTGGAAATTGAAAAATGGGATTGCGGAGTATCTGATACTGTACATTTTAATCGGAATAGAAAACAAAAATCGAAAATCCTCATGAAAAATTTCTGTAATTTTGCAGGAGGCACATAATATGGTCCGCGAAGCAAACGTCGCCCAGGCGCAGGCAGAAAAGGCACTTAAGGAGAGCCAAATGAAAGTGGAGGTTCTGCAGGCGGAGGTGGCCGCTCTCAAAACCCTCGTCATTACATCGACCCCCAGCAGACCGAACCCTCATCTCCACCCCCAGCTGCAGCAGTCGGACTCTTCGCCCTCATCAAGCTCATCTGGTAAAATCATCATCGTAACCAATGAAACTTTGTAAATGTTTAATAGAAAATATTTTTGCAGGAATGAATCTCTTTAATCGCAAGCATCGAAGGTCACCCTCTCATTTCAACCTCAAATACGGCAGAGAAAATTCTCCTCCAGACTCCCCAGTCAAAGAGCAGCGAGAAGGAAGTCCGGCGCACACTGGCTACGTCCAGTTGCAACAGGATGACGCAGTTTTAAAAGATGAAATTGAGGTTAAAAAAAAATTGAAGCAAAAATTATAAAAATTAGATTTTTGGAAAATAAAAAAATTCGATTGAAACTTATCGGTTTTTTAAAATTTTTAGTTTGATCCTGTGGTGCACAAGGAGTTCCTGCAGTGGAAAGAGGCGCCAACTTTGGACAGGACAGATCCATTCATCTCGAGAGTGTACAGAGAAGACATTGATCTGTGCCTCAACTTCTGCAACGGGGAGTTGGGCGCCAAAGTCTACTCGGCAGTGGAGGCAGGCACAGTTTATATTGAAGCTGTCACCGAAAAGAGCAAATCTACTTTCCCTAAGTAATTTTAAAATAATATTATAAATAAAAACAAACCTGACAATTATTTTTTTTTTCTTGTAAAGAAAATGTGCCCTGCTTGAGGCCCAGCGCATTTGCAGCTACAGGTTGCGTCTCGGAGAAGAAGAGCAGTGGCACACAATTTCTCAGTTGTGCAGAAACAGAGTATGAATTTTTCTTATTAGGGTAATAATTTTTTAACTAATTCACTTTTGTTACAGATCACCGCAGTGTGCGATTTTTTGAACTACCTGAGATACATCGAAAGGGGGCTCGTAAAGAGTTCAGGTATAAAATTGCAAAAATTAAGATTTTCAGAAAAATCTGTAACATTTTTTTTCAATTCTGCAGCGCACGACGTATTTTGCGAACTGGTGCGGCTGCGCAAGGAAATTATACTCGCAAGACTGGGCATGCCCATCTCTAAGGATTAAACTATGCCTACCCCTGGAAACCACTCACACACCAGTCATAATAATTTTTTAAGAAAATGCCAAAGACTTAGAAAGTAAAAATGAATTAAATAGAAAGAGATTTATATCTTGCTTGGAGCATTATATTTTATGTGTCTGTCTGAATGATTAATGTTATCAAAGCATGAAAAAGTGCCACAACATTTTATTATTATACTTTAAAAGGTTCTTTAAAAATATGTCAGAAAATCAGATTACTTTGCTTTTGGAGCTTTTTAATAAAATTAAATTTTTTGGTGAAAAATAATACCATTTATGAATGTGTGATTCTTGCTGTGGTTAGTGATAAAATGTCAGATTTCATTAAAAAAAAATTTTTTATATGTACTTTTTATTTTAAATGGCAAATTTTCTGCATAAGAGACAAAATGAGAAGATTTTTATTCATAATATAAATTAACCCTCAAGATTTTAAGAAATTATAAAATCAAATATTCTTTACTCATTTTCCTTGTTGAAAAACGAGAATAATGTGCTCTGAGAAGATTCAAATAATTCTTGAAAAGTTATACGTTTATACAAGGCATTTTAAGAATTTCCCCTACGATTTTCTGGATCTAATAAAACCCACGGTTATTAAAAAATCTAGTGCTCGAATAGACATTCTAAATATTAATAATATTACTTTCAATTTCAAATATACTCTCTTTGGTAGAAATTTGCACTTGCAGCTTTTGTGTGAAAATTTAAAAGAAAATTTAAGAGAAAATAGTTATGTATGTATACGAAAACTGTAAAGATTTTTTTTTAAATGTGTATATTATGCGTATTGATTCTGTTGCGAATTTTTTACTTGAAAATTAAAATTGATTATTGAAAAAATCAAAGATTTAATATTTTATTATTATGTAATTTTTAAATGTGAACCCATGATAAACTATAAAAATCGCCAGGCTGAAGAAATTGAAAAAGTGTCACATTTGAATTTATGCTTTTCAATTAAAAATTGGCTCACCGAAATTCTTGCGGTCAGCTTGACTATATAGGTGTGCCACGTTCCATTCCAATGGAGAAATTTTTAACTTGGCGGCCGCCGCCTTTTTACACGCGAAATTTTCAATTTGGTTGGTAGCACTGACAACAATCGACATGAATCGACAGCAACAGCACACGACACACGTGTTGTTTTCATTTCGGCTCGGCTCGGCTTACGAAAAATTGACGGGAAAACGCCTAAGATTTTCAGCACTGTTTTCTTCAACAATCGACGCCAAAATTTGCCTTTCTTTTTGAATTTTCAATCTAATTTAGTGTGAAGTATGGATGATGTTGTGCAAAAATATCAGAAACGAGCTCAAGAAGCGGTGAGTCCTGATCTTATTTCATCCATGCAATTTTGCCCATTTTTAAATGAAATCTTAGTATTTTTCTTATAATCCTCAATTACTATTTAATCGGAGATTCGGGAAAAACGTTATGCAATCCGTCAAATTTTCTTGCAGGAGTTAAAAGTCAAGGAACTTGAGCGCGAGATCGACGGCTTGGTTGCTTTGGTGAATGGAGGAAATAATGCATCTGAAAGTTCAGAGGGTTCTCCTGAACTGTCTGCACTGCAATTAGAGAATACGAAATTAAAGCACAGACTGAGCATCCTGAAAAAGGTATTATTTTATTTTTTTAAGTTGCCTAAATCGATGCAAATTAAATTAAATTAGTAGCATAAATTTTATACTTTTTTATTATTACATCATACACATTAAAATCTTATCAGCTAGAATGGAATGATGCAATTGTAACGCTGAATTTTTTTATGATTTTGCAGATTCTTACGTCATATATATATTTAGCTTGAAAATTTCTTTATCAATTCTTTCACAGGCAATTGAGAAGGAAGCATCTTCAGGTGCAGTGAAATCCTCCAAACTGTCCAAGGTAAAGAAAGTGGAAGGCTCCGGGATGGTCAGCGTCCAGGAACTTATGAACGGCATTTTTGCCGAGGCCATTCAAACTGCTTACCCTGACTTGCCGGAAGGGCCAGTGGTCATTATGCCGTCAAGTAACAGCAGATTCGGAGATTACCAGTGCAACTCAGCTATGTCCATGGCACAGGTAACTATTTTGTTAAGATTTTTTGTTTTTAAATTACTGTAAAAATATTCAGGCACTCAAAGCTCAAGGTTTGAAAGCCGTTCCGAGAGATATTGCCAAGAAGATTGTTGACAATGTCCCTGCAAATGAACTCATCGCCAAGTTAGAGATTGCCGGTGCCGGCTTCATCAACATCACTCTGAAGAAGGAGTTTGGACACAAGGCCTTGAAGGACATCCTCATCAAAGGGGTCCAACCACCGCAATGTGAAAAAAGGCTCAGGGTTGTGTGCGACTTTTCGTCTCCCAACATTGCTAAGGAAATGCACGTGGGGCACTTGAGGTTTGTTTATTTTTTGGCTGATTAGAGGTGAATTTAATTATATGACTTAGGTCCACCATTATTGGTGAGAGTATCTGCCGATTGCTTGAATATCTCGGCCACGACGTTGTTCGAGTCAACCACGTCGGCGATTGGGGAACTCAATTTGGAATGCTAATTGCCCACTTGGAGGACAAGTTCCCTGACTTCAGAACAGTTTCGCCGCCAATCGCTGATCTCCAAGCATTTTACAAGGCAAGTTTTTGCACTACGCCAAATTCTTATCTAAAAATGTGTTAATACAGGAAGCCAAAATCAGATTTGACTCAGATGAGGCATTTAAAAAAAGGGCCTACGCATGTGTGGTGAAGTTGCAGGCTAAAGAACCCGACTACATCAAAGCGTGGCAACTGATTTGTGATGTATCCAGGAAAGGTTTGTCATGAAGTGTGGGGAAATTATTTTATTTCTTACATGAATTTACAGCCTTCCAGATTATTTATGACAGACTGGACATCACTCTGAAAGAATTTGGAGAGTCGTTCTATCATGAAAGAATGATTGAAGTTGTTGAGCATTTGAAAAAAGGAGGTAGGTTTAGGTTTTGAAGATTTGAAATTTGATTATTGATGATAACCCAAAATCTAGGCTATTTGGAGGAGGACGAGGGTCGTCACATCATGTGGGCTGAAAACTTCAAAGTTCCTTTGACCATTATCAAATCTGACGGTGGATTTACCTATGATACTTCAGACATGGCCTGTGTAAAGTACAGAGTACACGAAGAAAAGGGTGACTGGCTCATCTATGTTGTGGACGCTGGACAAGTACGATATTTTTAAACTTTTAAAAATGTTTTATATTTTAATAAATTCTTTCCAGTCTACTCACATTGAGACCATATGGGCCTGCGCTGAGCGTTGTGGATACATTGACTCTAAGAAAACAAGGCTCGACTTCATTGGCTTTGGTGTTGTTTTGGGAGAGGATAAAAAGAAATTCAAGACTCGATCTGGTGACACCGTCCGTCTAATTGACTTGCTTGACGAAGGTGAATAATTCTTGGAAATAATTAAAACAGTTTGATTGCATTGAATATTTAAATTAGGTTTGAAAAGGGCCAAGGAAAAGTTAATTGAGAAAGAGCGTGACAAAGTTTTGAATGAAGAAGAACTTAAGGCTGCTCAAGAGTCTGTGGCTTACGGCTGCATCAAGTACTCAGATCTTTCGCACAACAGAAATCATGAATATGTCTTTTCCTTTGATAAGGTACGATTGCACTTTCATATGTAGGTAATTTTTTTTTTTAATTTTTAAATGGTTTAGATGTTGGAGGATAAAGGTAACACAGCTGTCTACCTTCTCTACGCCTACACTCGAATTTGCTCCATCGCCAGGAATGCAAATGTCAGCCCTGAGCAGTTACGAGAGGCTGCGAAGAATACTCCCATCTCGCTGGACCACGAGAAAGAGTGGAATCTGGCCAAAGTTCTCCTCAGGTTCCCTGAGGTGTTGATCAAGATTACCAAGGACCTGTTGTTGCACCAACTTTGCGAGTTTGTCTACGAGGTCAGCACATCTTTCAGCGAGTTCTATGACAGCTGCTATTGTGTAGAGAAAAATTCTGCTGGTATATACTCTAGAAAAGTAAACATCTATATTAAAAGATTTTAATTTGTGTGTAACTTTTTAGGAGAAATTGTGAAAGTCAACATGGGCCGACTGCTGCTTTGTGAAGCTACAGCATCGATCATGGCCAAATGCTTCCACATCCTCGGACTGAAGCCTGTTGCACGCATGTGAATGTGTTCACAAATTTATTACTTTTTTCCATGGGGAATCTAATTTAAAAATAAATTTTTCCATTTTGAAAATGGATATTACTCAGTACCAAAATGATTATCCAGGGCATATTTAAATTTTTCTTTTACCAATCAATAACTAGCAATAGTATTTATATTTTATCCTCTTTTATAAATACCCCCAGGCAACCTAATTTTGGTTTTCAATTTTGAAAATTAAATTTGCCTTATTAATAAATAAAAAAAACTATTAAATTATTGCATACAAATGATTAAAACTATTTAAAAAATATATTAAATAAAATTTTAATAAAATGTGAATGTATTGATTAAAATTTTTTAGTTAAAATTATATTTTTTTAAATTTGGCATCCGTGTACTTATTAATTATATAATAAATATTTCATAATTTTTCCTATGTTGAGCTACTTTGCTCGTTGTCACGCGTCAAGTTGGTAGCACCAGGTAGAGAGATCATTGACGCACCTCGCAGGTAACATTCCTGTCAACAGATGGCCACATCCATAATTGCTTTGCGACGGCAAAAAATCCATCATGGCAGACATGAATGTTTGTTGGGTCTGATTGCAAACGTCTGCGTGGACGTTTTCCTAATTTTCCGTCGGTTTTGTTCAATCATTTAGGTAAGAATTTACCTGTTGCGACGTTTTTGAGGCGACGCCGCCGGAAAATCGGCACTCGCGGCCGGTTGGAAGGCGGCAGTCGGCTTGTTTACAAATTGTGCCAGAGATTTCGAAATGGGCGTCACTCCCTTGTGTGTGCATGCCTTTCATACAAATTAAATAAATATAGCGGCCGAAAGTGGCCCACGAAACTTCGCCATAGCAACGCGCCTGTCGTTTGTGCCAGCGGCGTCTCATTTTCTCGCATTATTTCTGCTCCCCAGCTCGGCAGGATGTTCACCAAGAAAAAGAAGAAACCGCTGATTTCGCCGCCGACCAACTTTCAGCACAGGGTGCACACGGGCTACGATCGCAAGGAGGGCAGGTACGTCGGCCTCCCGCTGCAATGGGCCGGCATCATCGGCAACAACCAAATCCTCAGGAGTACAAACAGACCCCTTCCAATGGTGGACCCCTCAGAAATAACCCCTACAGACATCCTCGATCTAAAGGTATGCAAAAGGTCTCTTGCTTCAAATTAAACCCTGACTTATATTTTTATTTCCACTCAGACGATTGTTCGAGGGCCAACCGAGGGCGGTCGGCCTGGCCGAGAAAACGGCGGTATCCCTAGAATGTCAAATGTAGCCCGTTCGAATTCCCTCCGTTCCTCCAGTCCAACGAGAATGCGTCACCTGGCAGCATCTGTCCGGCCCAACGTGCCTCCGTCAGTGCCCGAAGGCGAGGTTTTGGCCTCGGGACCACCGTCCAGAAACATCACTCCAAGTTTACCGGCAAACATGCCGCCTAGAAATGATCTCTATAGGATGGACCAGAACACTTCTTATCCTGTGCCCCAACTTTCTCCAAATTCACAACAGCAGCCACCCTTTGGCAAAACACCTCCGCCAGTGGTAAATTTATCTTCTTAATTTATTTGAAACTGGTTTTTAATCGGCCAATATAAAGCAGGCGCCAAAATACGGCGGACATATGGGTCAGAATGGCAGTGGCCACACAACACCCGACAGCTACATGCACCAGCAGAATGGTCCAGTCAATCACTTGAATACACCTCCACCTCAGGTCTGATTCGATGTTTATTTCTTAACCAAATTCATGGTTAAATAAATTTTAGAATAGAAATTTTTTTAATTAATAAAAAAATTTAAATTAAATTTTAATGTAGCATCTCTCTGACCGTTTAAATTTGGAGGCTCCACTTTTAAACTCATCAATAATCAAGTGGAGAAGTGCATTTTTATAATCGCCGTCCCATAGTTGCTCCCTGAATACTAATGAGTTCAAATTCTCAGGTGCCGATGAAAGGCAATGGATTTGGCGTTGTGCCAAGGAATGCGCCCCAGCACAGGGACTCGTACCCCCCGCAGCCAATGAAAGCCTTCCCCCACCCCCACAAAGAGCCCTACCCTGGTCCTGGAATGAACCATCAACCCCCTTATCAGCAGCAGCCGGCGCATTCGCCATCTCCAAGGCCAAACTTCAACCAGCACCCTCAGATGCAAAATATGAATCAGCAGCAACCCTTCCACCCCCAAATGCCTCACCAGCAGCAGTTCCCCTACCCCCAAAACCAGATGGCCAACAACAACCACCACCAACCTCCTCCCCCTCCGCAAAAGTCTCAGCAAATGCAACAGCAACACCCTGCTATGAGAGACCATCCAATGATCAGGGTACGTTGAAATTCCAAGTGAAAATTTTGTTTGTTTTGCGATAAAACTGTTTGCTGAGTGTCAAGGATTAGCAGAAACATAACTATTTCTTGTTATTGTTTACAGGCAAGTCCGTCCATGGGTTCAATGCCAGATCAAAATCAAAATCTACGACCTTCACCTCCTCAGGGCTCTGTCAGCTCAATGCACTCAGGTGCTGGCTCAAGCAAAGGAGCTCCCACACCCCCACCTGGCTCCAAACAACACTACGAGCAACAAAGATTAACTCATGAACAAGTAAGTTTTAAAAGTTTTGAAAAATTTTCCCTTATAGTTTCAAATCATGGTTATTAATGGTTCACCAAGCCAAATTCTCTGCCCAAATGCATCATCCATAAATTCAATATTATGAATATAAATCACATTACTTACACAAATTAGTAAAACAATTTTTTTTTTTCATAATTGCGAACAATAGGAGTGTAAGACAAATACATTAGATTTTTATTCCGATTTCTCTCTGCAGTTCAGAGCAGCTCTTCAAATGGTGGTCAGTCCAGGTGATCCAAGACAGAATCTTGATTCCTTCATGAAAATAGGTGAGGGATCAACAGGCATTGTTTGCATAGCTCTCGATCGAACAACCGGTAGACAAGTGGCAGTCAAGAAAATGGACCTCAAAAGACAACAGAGGCGAGAACTGCTTTTCAACGAGGTTTGCCGAATTTAATTTTTAAATTTAGATAAAATTTCAAAACGAATTCTTAGGTGGTGATCATGAGGGACTATCATCATTCTCACATCGTAGAAATGTTCGACAGCTTCCTGGTCCAGGACGAACTCTGGGTGGTGATGGAGTATCTTGAGGGAGGTGCTTTGACGGACATTGTGACCCATGCGCGAATGGACGAGGCGCAAATCGCCACTGTTTGTCAGCAGTGCCTCCGAGCCCTGGCCTACTTGCACTCGCAAGGGGTAATCCACAGGGACATCAAGTCAGACTCAATACTTCTCACTGCTGACGGAAGGGTTAGCTCAGAAAAATTAAGAAAAACGTTTTTACCATTATTTTGGTCCTTCTGCTAGGTCAAATTATCGGACTTTGGCTTCTGCGCCCAGGTGTCTCAAGAGTTGCCAAAAAGAAAATCTTTGGTGGGCACCCCTTATTGGATGTCTCCAGAGGTGATTTCTCGTTTGCCGTATGGACCAGAAGTGGACATCTGGTCGCTCGGAATAATGGTGATAGAAATGGTGGATGGCGAACCACCCTTCTTCAACGAACCTCCTTTACAAGCGATGCGAAGGATCAGAGACATGCCACCGCCTAAACTGAAAAACACCCATAAGGTTTGATTTTAGATGTAAAAAAATGGCAGAGTATTTATTTAATTGTTTGTTTTTATCAGGTGTCTCCGAGGCTATTGAACTTTTTGGACAGGATGTTAGTACGAGACCCAGCCCAAAGAGCCACTGCTGAGGAACTTCTAAACCACCCGTTCCTCCGGCAGGCTGGTTCGCCCTCATTGTTGATTCCGCTGATGCGAGGGGCTCGCCTGAATGTGCCCTGAGACAGACCCATTCCTGCCCGTCTGCTAGAACGACCTGAAACCTTGTTGCCTTACGAAGTAACGTCCTCTTAGTGTGACTTATTAATAAGAAAGACAAGCTATTTTATCATGTTGACCGCGGTTCCAGAAAGTTATCCGCAGGCTGGCTATTTTTTGTAGATGAGCTACTTGTGCAATAATTAGCTTGTATGTACATAGTGCCTGTTCATTTTGTTTATAGTATGGTTACTATTGCACCTTGCTTACCATGTGCCGTCCTCTTTTTTAACTGATTATACATCCGCAGCTGATAAAATTCCACAGACTCTGTGCAGGAATGTTCTTTGACAATTCTGCTTGGAAGTCGCTCAGTTTGTAAGGCCAGCTCACTTTCATATATACTTATTGGCAACTCCTGTGGTGATAACCAATGCCTGAATTTGATATTCTCAACCTGCTTTTTACAACATGCCTTTTTAATCATATTACATAACTGTGCACGAAAAATAATCACGCTGATATTTTGCACTCACACCAACATCACTCGTACTTTTAAGAAGCAAAACTTCCGGAGCAGGTTCTACTTGTAAGATTTATGATATATAAATATTTTATTATTTAACAGGCGCGGTGAATGAGTTAGTTTTGTGTTAAAAATAGTTACGGACTCTGGCGCTTGAGTTGAAAATTGCCTCTGTGCACTTCTGTAATAATTGCTTAGTGACAAGTACCTGTGCCTAAATTAGCTGTAGTGCAGCAGTGAAGTGGACAGTATTTTCAATGCGCTAGACTATCTCTCTCTCTATCTTTGTGTTATAATGTATTTTTACCCTTCATTTCTTCCGTTGTTTTTTTATATCAAGGTTTGGAAGGATACCCTATTTGTATCATTTGTTCAAAGAGCATGGAGATATTTTGTGTCATAAAAATAGCATTATTATCATTGATGATTATGGTTATTATCAAAGAAAGAGAATATTCGCAGTAATTATTATAAATATATTGATACTGGAATATTGTTTTGTTATGTCGTGTTATTAAGAAAGTACTTAAAAAGAAACATTCCATTGCTTTCAATATTATTTTTCGCCTGCAACAAATTGCGAGCCTATTAAGCATTTTGTCATTATTCTGTGGATAAACTCTGTTATTCTTAATAAAAATCTATAATTGTATTCCAGAATGAAAAGGTGAATTTTTTATTGAAAAACGTCTGGTTTTGAAGTAGATTGCATCTTTATTTCAGAAATAGAGAACATCAACTTTTGTGTGGAATTGAAGAGTGCACAACATGAAACAGTGGTTTTTTTATACTTTTTGAAAGTTATCCGTAGGTGTTTTGTGTCTATTGTTTCCCAAAAATAGAGAGATAATATAGACTAATGCTATCGTTAACAGTTTTAAAATGGTAACATGTCAATTCAGTCTGCTACCCGGTCAACTGGCAAGCCATTCAAATGCAATCGTATCGGAAACCTGAGATACCAAATATAATTTGCAATAATGCAAAAATAGGACATTTCGCGCCACTGCTTTGGCAACTTACAACTAATTCATAAATAAAACTTAATAACACGTGATGACTCCAGTGCAGAATTCACAATCAGCAAAAACCAACGGGCGCTCAATGCAACAATGAAATTTTGTTTACATTGTTGTTAGCTAAGCAGAGAAGTTGTGTCAGTTTGATGGCACCATTTCTGATTGGTCCACAAACAATGGAAACTTGATTCATTGCTGCATCAAGCCCCTGGCAAAAACATTCACAAAATTACGGAATAATTTACCGAACATCTAAATCGTTTCCAAATATTAGTTATGCCCCAATTATCTCATAAATTTTAAAACATCAACCATCATTTTTAGACCCGCAGTCATATGAGTTCACGAAAGGTCATAAATTGCATCAAGAGAACATATTTTGTAACATATAATGCTATTCGTTTTGAGATTCAGAGTCGCTGCATGAGCAAGAACTGGTGCAAGAGCAACTGCTGGAGCTGCTCTCGGACGAGTCGCACTCGATTTTGCCATCTTTGGCTAGCATGCTTTTGAGCTGATGGATTTCCAAAGGCCACATGGTCCTGATTACCTCGTTGTTGTTGTCAGTCATATCGGTCAGCTTCAGGGCCACCACCTGAGGGCTGTCACCAGCTTCCCTCAGCTGGCCCATCACAGAACAGTACACGCCTGAAAAGTTATATAATGTTTAAATATCTTATATAATATTATTTTTTTTTTAAATGACCTTGAATTTTGCAATAAATTTAAAATCTCAATTTTGTAGCGTCCATTTTTTTTTAAATAAAAATAATAAAAACCTGTAGCCATCCAGTCTGAGCTCATGGTGGTTGATTGGGTTTTGAGAACTTTGCAGGTAGCCTCAGTCATGTCACGCAGAATGAAGAAGTCGGGAAAGTCGTAGACAATGTCCCCTTGCAGCCACACCAGTCTCAGCTGCAGACAGAGGCCGTCGTTGACAATCAGCGTCCAGTGCGGACCCTGAGCATCGCCCTGCTGTAGTTGGCACTGCTTCAAATCTTCGATGGACAGTTTCATGAAGCTATCCAGAAGGTTGATGGTTTTCTTCGTGGACATGATCTGGTCGAGGATGGACGAGTTGTTGGTGTCCACCTGCAATGCGGCTCCGCCCGCCGTCTCGACGGCGTCCTTCTTCTGGTCCTCCTGCAGCTCCTTCAAATACGCGATTTCGGCCGCCGATGCTGCGTTGGCAATCTCGTAGTCGTCCGGGTCCATGGTTGCGACAGATCTCTGACCTATTTGCAGAAGATTCCCGTTTAGAAAAATCGATCATGAAGTAAGCAAAGCAAAGTTCACGGTCGCACCTCGATCACTCTAGGCGCCAATTTTCGTCCATTCAAATAACACGACTCAGCCCATTCAGCGCGAAATATTCGCTTGCTTTCGCAATACAGCCGAGAGCCGAGATGTGTGGCGTGTGGCTGTACGGCTGTGGCAAAAACAAAATAATAACACGTGATGGGCAAGGTCAGTGCCATCTAGCGGCGAGCCCGATCTTGAAGGTTATTGCGTCGTACTCGTTCTGTGGCTACATGGTCGGGCTAGGAATTTGCCAATAACGTCAAAAGTAGAGAGTTGAAGATTCGATCCAGGAGGTATTTTTTAAGTAAGTGTTGGTCCGATGTAGCTGGGACTATAATAAATTATTTTTATGTATATAATGTACTATTCTGATTTTATATAACATAAAAAATACTATTGTGTTTTGTTTAGTAAAATAATTATTTTTAACTCGTAATAATTTGGCTGTATGTATTATTCAAAGTTAATTTAATGGACGTAGTTGAGTTTTTTATAAACTTTTTATTCAAACTATTCTATACTAAAAAGTAATTTCAACCATTAAAAGATATGCAATAAGCAAACAATTAAATAATATTATAGCAAAGTGAATTATTTAATATTTACTCCGTTTCAGATTTTATTCAATCATAAAAAAATGTTGGAATAGTTTTATTTGATTCAGTCAATCTTTGCAATCTTTATTAAAATTTTAATAATTTTCGTTGTCTCTGATTCAGGATGATATTATCCAAATTTAATGTATAGTGAATGTAAAAGTGCATTGTTTTTATTTTGCAACAAATTTATTATCAAGAAGCAGAATTCGATTTTCTCCATAACACGATTTAACAATATGAAATAAATATTCATTCCCTAAACGTTCTTTTTGCCCCAGTCATATTGAACGGCATAATTATGTTATTTTATATTGTTGTTTTTTTCCTTCCCATTTTGCATGAGTGAGATTCATAGTTTCACTTTTTAACGTAGCCACATTTTAACAAGAGAGTGAACATGTCATTGTGGAAGTTAAGCTTTTGGCACTTTGAGCTCTCTAATTAGCACACATGGATTTGGATTGAGTTTTTTTTTTACATTTCGACCGGAACTTTTCTTGATTTTAATTATTAAATATAACTCCTGCAAAAGAAGTTATTTCCGCACTATTAACATTGATTTTCACACAGCATTCAACGATTATTACCTTACTTTGTCAGGGCAAATCATTATATAAAAAAGTTACCGTGCTTCAATTTTATTTACTAACATTAAGTTGACAAAAAAATTATATATACTAGGTTAATTAAGTAGACATCAAATAAAACATTTCTAGCACAATTTGGATTACACATATGGGAAATAAAATTGGTCACAGTCACTCTTCCTTTCTATTAAAAACGGCAAATGCCAAAGAGTTTCAGGAAAACACACATAAAAACTGGCAAAAATTTCACATTAAGTTCAGCAGATGGCGAACTTTAAAAAAACGTATCCTATTATCTTATTTATAGCAGCGTCTTCTAAAATATATAATTTATCCGCTGCAAGAAAATTCTCTACTCTTTTTAGTATACCGACCGCGGCGTGTGTTTCTCATAAAAAATGTACGAAAAATGTGAGTGTGTGTGTGTGTGTGTGTGTGTGTATGGATGGTGTTATCAATTCCGCTAGGCTCCTTCGTTTTTGAATTAATATTAGTCTCTTTTAGCACCAAATCGCGAGAGACGCGCGAGTGCGATTCACTCTGATGACGAGATGTGATTGGAGAATAATTAATAATTTAAGTCTCTTGTTCGATTATCGAACCGGTCAGTGCGATCGGAGAGGCTGTAGACGAGTTGAGGCTGCTGCGCCGCCGCTTCAGTTGCTTCCAAAATCTCCTGTCCAGTTTTTCATCCTAGAAATCACACAATTTCTTCAAATTCCACCCAAATGTTTTCAAACAGTAAAAGCTTTATTTAGCAAATGAAAATAAAAACGCGTCAGCTCTTTAAACTACATCCTAAAATTTACATCTTTTTAATAAATATACTAACAATAAGCCAATAATGGTCAAATATTTTGACTTGACTTAAAAAATTTGAGGAGATAAAATTGATTCTACTCCTGTTGAATTTTAAAATATTGAAAGTATTAATTTAAAAAAGTGAAAAAAAGTGAATTTGACAATAAAGGATAAATATCTATTTCAGAAATAAATTGTGATTATTTTACGTCCTCGCAGGAATTTAATAATTTTATTGGAGAAATATCATGTTGAATGAGTTTTAATCTGGAATTAACAGCTGCTTTAATAATTATATTATTGTGCAAAATAAAAATCTTTTTTTTTTTACAATGTTACAATGAAGGCTCGTTTTCAGAAAAATGTGAAGTTGATGATCCCAAAGAACGGTGTTAACTGAAGCTAAAATGATTTTGGCTATATAATTCTGTGTGAATCCTAAATTAAGCTAATTCTACTCAAATATTCTGATTGTAAATAAATCTAGCGATCTACAACTGCTATTGTAAAGTGATTTATGAACCTTTCTATGGTACATAAAAATATTGATCAGCTTTTGATTTAAATTACCTTTTCTTTTAACCCTAAAGCCACCCTGAATAATTTTCTTTTAGCCCAAAGGTCTTCTAGAGATGTTTGAATATGGAATGAGAAAATTAAAATAAATCCAAACAATATTGCTTGTTAAACATTGAGGTATTTTTGTAAGCGATTTCTTAATTAAAAATTCACCTGATAATCTAGAGGCACGGTCTCCTTAACGGGGGACTTGTTGGGGCCGTTATTGTTGTTGTTATTTCCAGCGGCGGTGTTTGTTGTGGTCGTGGAGTTGTTGTTGTTGTTGTTAGAGAAGAGCCTCAACAGCCCCCCGGCCTTGTTGTCTTCAGAACGACTGCCCCCGAGGATTCCGCCCAGGGGGCGAAGTCTGCAAATGAAACTGTTTAAAAATCTCCATACCTCGGAAAAGCGAAAGCGTATTTACAGCTTTGAGGTCTGACTCCTTTCTTGACGAGGGGATTCGACTCCGGGAAAGTCCCTGCGACGACTGCTCGCCAGTCTCAGTCGACGAAGTAAGCCAGAGGAGCCGCTCGTTCCTGGCCCGTTCGTACCGACTCCGCAACCGCTCGGCGGCTGTTTCCCCTAGTCAGTCGGTTCCAAATTTAAATTTAGAAAATATTTATCTTGATTTTTTTTTTTTAAATAAAAAGCCTGACTTTAATGAAAACAAAAATTTAAGGCAAATTTTTTTTTTCTTTCTAACGGCCAGACCAAATTTCTACTTTTAAATCACCAATTAAATGTTTGCACTTAGCATTAGGTTCAATTTCTACGTCTAAAAGTTAATAAAGCGTGAAATTAAATTCCAAATTCAGTAGACATTCTACATTGCTTAGAGCTTCAAAGGTATGCAACCTGCAGCACTAGCAAGCCCGGCCAGTTGCATAAATCATTTTGTGGATTTTGTTACTTTGTTGCGTTTTGCGGTGCAGGGCAAGTTATTGATTGTTAAATCGAAACACCTGGTTTTTCAAGACAAAAAGCACTTTTATTTCACTAAATGATTCCAGATGTTAATTTGTATCATCACAGAAAAGTTAGCACCAATTTTCAAAAGCACACAATCATAAAATGTTATATGAGCAAGGATTACTTAAATAGATCATGGGTATCACTTTTTTCAGCATATTATATAATATCGAAGACGAAAATTATAAAACAAAGACATATTTAACGAAGCAGTGATTCAGACTTTGCTTTAATATTAAAAGTGAAAAATTTTTATCTTGTATTTTTTAATTAAAAATTTGATAAGCAAATTCGGGAAATTTTACTTCAAATTCTTTTTTCCTAAAAGTCTGAATCTCATAACTTGTTTTGTATATTTTTTATTAAATTGTGAATATTGGGATCATTTTCACTGCAAAAGCAAATCACAAACCGAGCGAAGGAGGACGATAAGAGAGAGTAAGAGGAAATACCAAAGCCTGGCGCTCGGGTGGCCTACCTGCGGAGAATGGGTCGGCGATCCAGTGTCAGGAAACGCGTCCGCCCAGCTTCCCTGTCCAGGCTTGACGAGGCATCCACGCCGGGGCGGGGGCGGTGCCTACAAGTCCCACCAACACAGCGCACAACGCATTATATGCATGACTGACCTACTAATCGACTCTAGCCTGCTTTCTCTAGCGCTAATTTTTTTAATTCAAACTAACAACAAGTAATATCTTCATTTACAAATTGCAACCAAATATTCATAAACTTTACCATGGACAAAAAAATAAGAAAAATGTGAGAGGTGCCTCCAGAAAAAAGTTAAGGAGAAAGTAAATTTTAAAAAAATTTAAGAAGGCAAAAAATTCATTTCATTCAATTTACCCCATATTTTCAAGATTAAATATATTTGAAGAAAATTCAATCTCATCAATTAAATTTTCAATTAGAATTTCAGCAAATTCTGGTGAAAGAGTTTCTTGAATATTTGATTAAAATTAGTTTTCTGAAGATATAATTCATACAAAACATATATTCCCGCTGATGGCTTACCTTGCCTTGCTCCGGGCTGCTGCCGCCACTGGAGGAGCTGTCGCTGAGCAGTCGGGGTCGGGGCCGTGTTTCGGCGCCGTCCTCCTCCTCATACAGTGGCTCAAGTCGGCGCCGCGGGTAGACGCGTGGCGGCGCCGCCAGCAATCGGGTCAGTTGGTCGTCGTCGTCCGGTGACCACGAGCGTTGACCTCCGCCTTGGTGCTCGCTGCCCACGCAAGGGAACAGCGAAACAATGTCCTGACTCGAGCTCAACTCCTCCTCGGTGTCCTCGGGGTCGGCGCCTGAATCACAATATCACCAATTAGTCCCTTTTGTCTCGTCGGTGTTCAACACTCTTTTATTTAAATTTTTAGTTTTTTGTAGAGAGGGGCCTGGATTCGGAATCGCACGTTTAGAAGCGGGCGAAAAATTTTGGCTGGAGTTTGGACAGGCTTGATTTACCTGCTTTCTTCTTGTCTAAAGAAAATAAAAGAAAAAAAGAGGAAAATTAATTAAAGGCTAAATTTTAACCAAACTCTAAAGTAAATGACATGATTTAACTGCGTTTTTAAATTAATGCTAATATGAAGTTACATTCAAATGCTGAATTTTTTAAATCTTACAACCAATTTGTTATGAAAAGGAGAATTTTACATTGTTGAAAATTGGGGAGTCCAAACCACAATATATATCAATCATACAATATAATTTTTTTAAAGTTCTTATTTTTATTTCACGTATTGAGCAAACTAAACACTTTCAATGGAAATATCCTAAATATTTAAAATAAATTACTTAAATAATAAAATCCTATAATTATTTTATTAATTAAAATAAAGTTAAATAATAATGATATAATAATCAATTTATATTACTGGCTGATTGTGAGAAAAGAGTTAATTGATCCATGCACCTTTTTGCTTACCCTCTGGCGTTCCCCATTCCTCCTTGTCAGAGACGCTGCTGTCCGGACTGCCAATTTGATTGGCCGCCGCGATGGCCGCAGCCGCGGCCGCGGAAGTGGCCGGCGGGTTGGTGATGCCGACCGGTGGCGAGGTGGACAGCGCCGTCGTCGCTGGTTTGCTGCTTACGGCGGCGTTGCTGAGGACGGCTTTGGCCTGGCTGGAGGCCGCAGGGGGCATTGGGGCGGCCGGTTTGGTGGTCGACGTGCTCTTTAGCTCGAGGGACTTGGCAGGACCGGTCGGGGGTTGCGGTGCGGGGGCTTTTTTGTTGAAAGACGAGTAGATTTTGGCGCGTACGGGCACGGCGGGCGCCTTCGTTTTGAGGGTGGCCGTGGTGCCCATCACCACTGTGTGGCGGGCCACCGGTTGTGACGTGGGAGGGGACTTGGGGAGCACAGACTTATTTTGGAAAGCCTGCATAAAAATAAAAATAAATTATTATTGTTTATTACACATTTTTTGTAAACCAATTTAAAAAAGCAGAATTACAAAAGTTACTTTATTTTTCTATTTTTAGTAGAGGTTTTCTAAGCTGGTTTCAGATTTTCAGAGGTTACTGGGTGTATTTTTTTTTTCAAAATTAGAGCCCAAGAGTGCCAATTACAAATAAAGGCAGAGGTGAATCTTGTATTGAAATTTAAAATTCAATGTACATTAATTGGCTAAACACGTAATGACTTTGAAGTGATTGCCTCTTGAATTTTTTGATGATATATTTTGTTCATTAAGAAGAGTGATTTTGAAGCATAATTATTTAATAAAAAATCACATTATAATTATTTTTTATAATTGATTTAAAACAAACCATATGAAAATTTAAAAAATTGGAATAAAGTAAAAACATAAATTAGTATTGTTAAATACCGTCATTATTGGCATTTAAATGTGGTAAATAATATAAGAATAATAAGATTTATTATTTTTATATTAAATTAAAATAAAATATTTAATCATAATATGAGAAATGAGCGTTCTACGTACATTTGGGCCTACCTTCTTTAACTGTGCTACAGTTCGAGGTTGTTCTTTGGGGATGGTTTTCGGCGCAATCTTCATAGGGGTGGTGGGTGATGGCGACGGGGTTTTAGGGGCGGACGCAGGCGTTGGCAGGGTTGTGTTGCCAGGGATAGAACACGAGGAGGAGATGGTGCGTGGGATGGAGGTGCCCACCGTTGGGGGAGCCCCGCTGGTCAGAGGGTTCGGCATGAAGCGGTCGATGGGGGCGGCGTTTTCCTTCGTCTTCAGCTCCTCGAACATTTTGGTCTTCTCGGCAACCGAGGGGCCGGAGTGCACGCCCCAGCCCTTGATCGACTTGCTCTTCATGTCTTCGATGGACACTAGCACTTTTTTGGCGGTAGTTGGCGAATTTTGAACCGTTGATGGGGCAGCCGAGGTGTTTCGGTCGTACCGGATCTGTTCCCTTGTAAACTGTAAAAACAATTCTATCGGTCAGAGAAGGGACAAGATGTAAAAGTTTATTTGTAACTATATATTCTCTTGAAATAATTATCTTAACCGAAAATCTGCAAGAGGAACAGGAATATCATAATTTTTACATTAGTTTAAAAAAATAGTCTAAAAGCCAAAACTGCATTAATTCAATTTCAATTAAGGTGGTGTTAATTTTGCGACGTACATTGATTAAGATTAATGTTTTTCATTAATATGCAGTTGATTATTTTTCAATAAAATTTTGACCCAAACACCATAAATCAATAAATATTTAAATTTTTATAGACTCTCTTTGTTCAATGAGGTTTGACAATTAGAAATCGATAATTAAAATTCAAAATAACCAGATCTGGTGTTGCATAATGTTTGATTGTGTTTTTGCACTTTAAAAATTAAATTGTTTGCTTAGAAAAATAAAGTTGTCCTTGTCCTAAATACTACCACCGCATAAAATTGAAATTGAACTAATAAATTAACATTGAAACTTTCATCTTGATTACTTAACAAAATTTTGAGGAAAATTCCAAATTTTCGATTCGGAGCACTAAAAATGTCAACGACTTTTCCACGTCAGCCACACGTTTGGAGCTTTTTCGTGACCAGTAACACCAAGTTTTTTGTTCCAATCGATAATATTAATCCAATTAGACGGCGGTGGATTAAAGCCTCTCATTCGTGCAAAAGAAAAGATAATTTGGCTTGCTTGGCGTGCAGATGGCAGGAAAAGATGGATCCAAACTATATAGAAAAGTCCAGCTAGAGAAAATACGGCTGTCACCTGGATTTCCTCCTCGCCAGAGTCACTTAAGTCGTCGGCGTTTGCGCTCGGCAAAATGCCGTCCTGGTTGCTCGTGTGCAAATTCTCCAGACTTTGCAGCGTTCCGAACTTCCGCAAATTGCTGCAAAATTTGAGACTTGTGTCACTCTGCGGCCTCTCGAAAGTGACACACAGCAAAAGTCTGTTACAGATTATGCGGACTAGCTTAATTAATATACTCAAAAATGATTTGATTTTTTAAGGGTAAAAAAAATTAACTTTCTACCAAGCGATTGAGAATGAATGAATTTGGTCAAATTACTCATGCTCCAGAGCGAGATTGTGCTCCTCGTCTTCCGAGGCGCTCGAGTCGCGGTCGTCTTCCTCGAGATCTTTTAAATCATATCTGTATACACGTGCAGAGAAAGGCAATTTAGTGGACGAGTGTGAGAGTGAGAGCACAAAATTAAGAGTACTTTTCCGTGTTAAAAGTGAATGGTTTAGGCGCCATCGTGGGCGACGCCGATTTGTTGCTCCCTAAACTTGGCACCGGACTACCTGGTCGTGCTCCTGCTCTTTCTACATTTACGCATGCACTGCAAAAAGTACGTTAAAAACACAAGACGAAAATGAGTGAGTTTGTACTATGTGAAATATAAACTTTTTGTCCTCGTACTAAGAAAATGTGTAGCTGAGTATTTTGAAAAATGGTTTCTGACATGCTCAAAAATCGTGCGTGAAAAGAAAAATGAAAAAAAAAAAAATGTTTTTTCTTTCTATTTTTATCCTAAGCGACACAAACCTGTTGGACAAAGTTCTGGCGAACGGTTGGTCTTCGTCGTCCGAGTCGTCTTCGTCGTCGTCGTTGCACGCGTCAGCAACCATATTCGCGGCCGTTTCCCACTCAAACTCAGTCTGTGAAATGTCAAAATATATTTCTCTCTGCAGAGACCATTTCTTGCGCGCCTGTGCAAAATTACATAAACAAAAACTTGACGGCGTCTATAATTAAATAACGAGATTGATATGTACTGAAAATGTACCAGCAGCTATATTTTTTGTGTGATTTAATATAATAATTTTCTTTGTGTTAATTAAACAGACTAATGAAAAGTCAGATCGATTTTTTTTAATTCATCCAAAGCGAGACTAAAAGGTTCTATACGAGTTGGAAAAAATTGAATTTATTTTATAATATAATTATGATTTTTTAAATTTAATTTAAGCTATTAATTTTCAAATATGACTGAAAGAATATTTTTTTTTTAAGTTGTGTTACATCAAATTACATAACTTTACCCTAGAGCAAAGGAAAATCTTTTTTTTTTTTTAATAATCGTTGAAAAAAGTTAGCTTGAAATCTAATTGAATGTGTTAACATTTGTATATAAATAAATTATTAATCTACAATCTACATTGTCTACATTAATTGTAAAAAGAGGTTAAAAATTTCAATTACTTTAAAATTTATTTTAACAATTTCAATTAAATTTTGTTTGAATGTTAAATTGTTGAGCATTTTAATAAAAATTAAAGAGCAAAAGATAAAATTATACAATAACAAATATATCTTTATGAGTAAAAGATAATTTATATTTGTTGTATTTAAAACTTGTACCTGTTTTTCAGTGTCTCCGGCCACACTGGCATCTGAAGGCGTTGGCGGAACAATGGCAATCATGGGCACCCTGGTGGCCTCGTCGTGGTCCCTGATGTTTTGCAGGGTGATTCCCATTTCGGACGGCAACGGTTCCCACTTGTCGCCTTCCTCCGAGTCGTACTCGCTGCTCGTCGAGTCCAGTCTGACCTTGTTTTTGTTGACATTGCTGGTGCTGGGGTTGTTATTAGAGGGCAGAGAACTTCCGTTCTGCATGGTGCCGCCCGGCGAGCTTGGCTTGTAACTGAAGATGGGTGAAGAAAGGGCCGGCAACTTCTTGTACAGGTCCTGTCTGAAGACGGACGGACTGCCACTCAGCATTGGGCTTCTCTCCTCCTGCGCCTTTGCAGCGGTACCCATGTCTGCAAAGAAACTCTTTTTCGCTTGCTCCGTCGTCTGCTTGGGCACCAGTTTGACCACGGCGATTCCACCAGACTTAACTGTCACCTGATATTTAAAATTTATTTGTTTCCGGTTTATTTAGAGAGAAATATCAAGGAAACATAATTATTATGGAATCATCAGAGGCAAATTGTAATTATTGTGAAATTTGGTACAATTCTAGAATTTTTATTGACATTTTCCACTGATTTTTAATCTAGGATTCTATGAATTTCAGTATCATGGTTAAATTATACATAAAAAAAAAAAATGACTACACAGAATGCAGATCTTTATGTACCATAATAATCAATATATATTTTTAGCTGCGGTATGCTGTGCATTAAAGATTTATATTTAAAATTATTAAATTATAACATAATATGAAAAACTTCAATTTTAATTCATATTTTTGTTTAATTTACCTAACACTCCTCTACCCTATGAAAGGAGTAGATTTTATCAAAAATATATTGCCGTACATGCGGCAAATGGTCAAGTATCCCTAAAGATTTATGCAAAGTTGATTAGTTTATTTCTGAAGATTTCATTTCATATGTTTCCTTGTAAGAAATTTTTTGCACAAGAAATACGCTAAAACGTTTGAATTTAGGCTACGTGCTCGTCACAAGAGCTGAGTGAGCAGGCTGCATGACTACTTTGATAGTGAGGCGTTGTTTGATTTATGTTTTGTTACCTGACTGCCTTCGGTGCTATGGCTCGGACTTCTGTCGGGGTCGGGCGACGACATTTCCAACTCTGAACACCGACTTTCCGCCCGACCGTGCGGACCACCACCGAGCAACTTCATGCCTCTCTTGCGCAACGTCGCCGGAGACCAAATTTCGAATTCGGCCTATGAATAGTGAAATGAACTAATGCGTGAAAAAGCAGCACAGAAGCAGGCCTGGGAATAAAGGTCGCTTGATTTGAATTTTTGAAACTTAAACCAAATATAGGTTTGAAGTAATGCAATTTTAAGCAACGTTAAAAATTGTTTTTAAATTTTTTTGTTAAAGGTTGTTCAGATTCAAAAGCAACTATTTTTAACCACAAACTGCTACAATCTAACTTAACCTTTTTGATTTTATGTTATTATTTATAAAAGAAATCAACCTTATTTTTCCAGCCCTGCACAAAAAGGTACGCGATTTTGATACACATAAGTGCAAATATTATTTTCCTTTCTAGATGACGTGTTGGGTTTGAAGCACTTTCTACAAAGTTTACCTCTGGAGTTATAGGCGAGTCAGTCTGATGAGTTCCTAGTTGGCCGGTCATCCACTGTTGCAGGTGCAGAATGCTGCCCTTGTTGATGCCCGTCTTGCCCAGCAAGCGGCACTTCTGCTCGATGATTTGGTCCAAGTGCTTCTGCGAGGCGCCCTGTAAAAACGCCAAGCTGTATTTTTGGTCCCACTTCGTGACCTCACAGCTTGTTTTGATTCTTTTTCCTTCTCATATATATATTTTTCGGTACTTTTCTCTCCGACAGAAAAAAAAATAATAATAAGAAATTATTCAAGCTGTGCAGTCAACTTCTCAGAACCATCGTGTTTTTCTCTATGACATCTAACTGATAATATTAATTTGAAATCCAAACGGTATGAATTTGGTATCTACATGCAAAGTCTAGATAAACGTCAAAAGGGGACATGCAAGAGTTGTAAAAAATTTGCCTCCGAGGAAAGGGCAGCAATTCACTTTCGCCGGCGCGGCATTTCGTTCTCCATGCTGAATTGGCCGCCCGGCGAAATTTCCACTTTCCTCCGAGTTGACACATCGAGGTTCCAACAGTTTTCGCTTTTACAATATCAAGAGTAAAGAAACAAACAGAAACACTCGTTGCGGAATTACCATTTGCTAAAAATGATGTATGTGTGTGGTGAGATCTATAAATTCATCTAACGAGTTTCAAATTCCCAGCAAATTTCGAGAGGCCAATTCCTTTATTTTTGCATCAAATTCATGCCAAATTTTGACTTTTCAGTTTGCTGGAATTTAAATTACATCAATCTGGAAATCAACTAAGGTATGTGTTCAAATGAGAGTCGGTAATATTAGATAATAAACTCTATTGAAAAAGAAACACGATTCTTTATACATGGATCCATTTAGGACAGAAATCGCTCTGACTATATCAACTAGGAAACTATCATTGAGACCTTAAAAGTTAGGAGTGAATTATTTTACACTAATTAAACCTACAAACTTCATAATTATTTTACACTACTGCGTTAAAATTGGAAAATCAGATTAGAAAGGTAGTCGTGCATCAAGAATAAATCTCTCATTTGAGATCATTAATAGTTTTTTTTTTAAGTTTTAAAAGTTTGCTTCTCCCATGACACTAAATCTAGAATAAAAACTTCTTTGCCTCTAAATTAGAACAATTTTAGAAAAAATGCACTGTATTCGAAAAAGTAAGGGATTCTACCTTTTGATGATTGCGTCGCAACGTGAATGCTTGATATTGGTATTGTTTTTTAAAAAACTAATTTGAACTCTTACAATTCGAAGACTTGTTCGTGTTTTCTGAAAGACTGTGTTTGTTTTTCAATTTATTTTGCTCACGTACTGAAATCGTGCAAATTTGACCAACGCCAGTCTTGTGTGATTTGTGTTTTTTCGTGAAAGCAAACTGCAAGTGCTCTGCATATAAATATCTTCAAAATGTTTGCATTTAAAAGAGCACTTCTACAAACAAATGCTTTTAGAGCGATAATCGAATTAATTAAACCATCAACATTGATGTCAACTACCTCAAACATTTTCCATCGCACGTTCAACACAAAGTTTCACACTCATTTCGCCATTCTCTGGTAAGAAGACAGATAAAGTACATGTAATTCTATCACAGAGGCGGTATTATTGATCGTTCTTTCATTGTTCTTTTTATCTCGCTTTTTAATAAAAGTAAAACCATATAATACAATCGGACAAATTTTAAGTCAATGACCTCGTCGTTATAATATATTTTGATTCATAATAACCTTATGTGACACGCTACATGCATCTTACATGACTAGTTTTACATGACGTGTGATACATTTTTAATTTTCATGAATGTGTGGAGTTTGTTTCAAGGAGGCAGCAATTTGTGCGGGCAAAGCTTTATGATCGCGTGCATGCTTAAATGCAAAAGTCGCTTGGTTTCCTGGACCCAGATATCAACAGGATTTCTTAAAGACTATAATTATGCGTGAGATTAAAGAGAAGATAAATAGGCATGCAATAATTAATATTTATTTTAAATTTGAGAAAAAGTGGTGAAAGTGGGTTCAGAAAATATTTCTGATATTTTAGGGTAAAAGTGGGGATATTTCTATAAATTTCCTAGAGAACCGTAAAAATAGAAATTTATCCATTATCAGACTTCTAAATTTAATTTTGGGAACAGGATTGGGTGGCTTGCGAAAGAGGATAAAATTTTAGAATGTATTTAAAAAAAAACTTTCCAAAGCATTCAACCTTATAATTTAACATGCAAATTCCAGTCAATTAAAAATATTGACTGCTCTTCTTTGATCAAAAAATCATCAAATAATGACAAACTTTGAAACTCTGAGTTTGAAAAACTGATGTAACTATTACAAAGTGTAACAATGCCTTAAATCAATAGCTGAGGATATAAATTTAAATATATTGTTGTTTTTAAAATATAATATTATATAATAATGTTTATTAAAATTGTACAGAAATTTAAAATTATTTAATTTCTGTACAAAAAACAAAAACTTAAAAACAAGCAAGGCGTGAAAAATTATAAATTGCAAGTCTAATTTATAATTCAAAAGTCATGCCATTGCACAAGCAGCGACGTACTATTTTTAATATTGAAATTCGGTTTGTGTGTAAGAAATCGCAACCCGTCTCTTGAAATCCAAGGCGAACCTCAAGCGATAATTAAACTTCTAACAAGTGTCTATAGTTCCGAAGGAAAATCAACAATACTAAAAGCGCAGCCCTTTGTATTAAATATTCTCAGTTTTGCTTTTCTTCCTTTGCCTCCTTGAATCGCACATGCTACGAGGGTCTAGGCCTGCGTTTGGGCCGGTTCTGGGCCGGTGTTGGTTTGGCCACCTTGCTGCGGCGGCAGGCGCACATGACGCGCTCCACCGCCGCCATGAACCAATGTCATGGGGGCTCTTTGGTGCGGAGCTTGCCGCCCAGTCTCTTGTGCGAGGCGATCGACTCCCTGTCCGAGTCGTTGTCCAGCAGTTGCGCGCCCTCCACTTTGTCGGCGTCCGGCTGTTTCATGACTTCCGAAATCATGTCGCTCGACAGTGGCTTTTTGCTATTTTTTGAAGAATTTTGCTTGTTCGCGGGCAACGGCATTTGCTTTTTCACGGTTTTGTTGTTCGGAGGTGCCGCCGTCGACTTTTTGTCCGCATGGGGTTTTGGGGTGAAAAGTTCTGAAAAGATCGTGTTCATGGGATTGGTGGTAGATTTGACGTCAAAACTGGTGGACGCGTGGATTTGCGTTTGCGTCACTTGGAGGGGGAAGAAAAGGTCCTGCAGAAGGACGTTCAAAGGGTCGTCTTTCTCCTTTTCATTTTCTTTAGTTTCGGAAGGAGGCTCAACCGATGTCTGTCTGCGGGGAGGTTTTTCTGGAGGGATTTTTTTGGAGGGATCTACTTTTCTAATTTCAGCTTTTTTGATTTCACCTTTCTTTGACTCGTTGCTGGCGGATTTTTTCACTTCGCCGCCAGCGGGCGACTTTTTAGTCTCAGGTTTTGCAGGTTTGGTTTCCTTTTTGGATTCCGCAGAAGCAGACTTTTTTACTTCCGTCTGCTTCTTTTGGTCTCCGCTGGGGGACTTGGTGATCTTTTTCTCGCTAACTTTGGGACTTTCCGAGCGCGGCACCTCCGCAACCTTTTTCTTGGACAGGTCTAAGGCCTTGGCCACGACCTTTCTCGGCGTTTCGACTTTCTCGATCTCGGCCAGTTTTTTGACCGCCTCCACAGAAACCGAGCTTTTGACAACTTCCCTTGGCTTGGCTCGCACTTCGCCCGAGGCTGACCTTTTTGGAGTCTCAATCGTGGCCACGACGACGCTCTCCTCCGTGATTACACCGAATTTCCCGGAACTGTTTGCCCTGTTTCGCACTTCGAGCGTTTTGAGGTCCAGCTCGGTAATCTGGACACTCCGCGTCGTGTCCACGTGCGACTCCAAAAAGCGCCTCTTTGACTCTTGGATACGCATGCGGGATTCCTTGAAGGTGCGTGGCGACGACTCCATCAGCGCTGCGTCGATCGGCGTCTCCAGCAGCTCGCGCGGGAGGTGTTTGTGTTGAGGTGGAGGGGTATTTTCAATTAAGGATTCCTCTAATTTAGGAAGGAATGAGTCCGGACGCACCTGTAGTCTGCTCGGCGAGTCCACAGTGGCGATCGACGGTTGCTCTGCGGGCGAGTCGAGGGGACTTGCGTTTGGCGTGCCTCCGCGCACAGTGTTCAGGTAAATGCTGCAAAAATTCATCAAAGCATTTGGTGAAAAATAAAAACAATTATAATATAATAATTTATTAGCAGATGAAAATAAAAAAATATCTGTTGGAGAAATATATAAAATGAATGCATATAATTAATGTAAATATACACTTCCAGGTAATAAAAATTTTGTTGTTTGAATTAAAATTTAGTAGAACAAAATGAATAGTAAATTTACTTCAAAATAGTTTTAATGCTTTTTTTTACACTTTATTTAGTTTTTTTTTTTAAGAAAATAGAAAACCAGTTATGAAGTTTTCAACCTATAGCTCGGAATATGTAGAGAAATAGATCAGTTTCAAAATTGTTCAAGCTTGCATTTTTTTAAATCTTCTTTTTTCGTTCCATTAATAGCACTGGGCGTTGAACAGCAATGAATATTAATAAGGAGTGTGCTTTCATCCTTTTTTTATATAAAGAAAAAAAAATTGGTTATAAATATATATTCAATAAGGAAAAACCTGGCCTTTTGAAGGTGATCATTCACAGTCGTGCATTAAAAATTAAAACTATAAATGAATAGCCTCACATTTGTCTTTGAATTAGGTTCTGCCACACAGCCTTGAGTTCGGGCGTTGGGGCTCGGAATGCGATACTTTTTCGACGGGTTTTTCCAGACTTGTCTTTCTTGGCATTGGCGTCCAACGGACTGTGAGGTGGGGCGTCCACTATCAGTCGAAATTCATTTTCTGCTCACAAACATAAAAAATTAAATAAACGCTAATCAAATTAAAGGCTCTTCTCACCCTTCTTTTTGATAGTGAAACACGCCTGCGTGACGGCGAGTAGAGAGAGGGGCTCGTCCGTCACGAAAAGGACTTTGTCTCTGCTGACGGTGGCCAGGAGGAGCAAGTCGCTGAACAGCAGCGCCCAAAAGGCTTTCGAGCTGCGACCTTCGATTCTGCTCAGGTCGCCGCCGAAAATCCATTGTCTCCCGCCTGTGTTTAGTTTGAAAGGCTAAAAATTTAATTTTAATGTCAGCAGAATTTTCAGCTTCTTTTCGGAATATTACTTTGCATTTTGTAAAGACCAATCTGCTCTCCAGGTCTTGTATGGACAGAAGAGGTTTGCCTTCGGAGTCTGGCTCCATAAGACCTGAATTGGCCGTGATATCTTTGTAGGTGGTCTCGAAAGCTTGGACCACCTTTGAAAGAGCTGCGTATTCTTCATCATTAACTTTAGAGTTTTTCAGGACGGTCTGCAAAAGCTTCAAAGTTTCCCGGTAGTGCTAAAGTAAATTTAAAAATTAAAGGGGGTCGACTTTTTTTAATTAATCCAGTACCTCGAGAGGTTTGTGGAGGAAGGTTGTGAGATCTGGACGTCTTTTAGGAATAGGAGGGTCAGACACTACTTTCAAGAAACCGGGGTTGCTGGTTTGCTGCGCCAGCAGGCAGTCGGCCCTCTTCAGACCCAGGCAGTATTTTCTGTACGCGTTGGTTAGAGCTTGCACCTAAAATTGTTATTCATTTCAATAATGAAATTTAATGAAAGGTTAAAAAGTTATGTGCTTCTCAAAATTGAAAAAAATATATCTTGATACATTTTTTTGTTTATACACACAAGTTTCTTTAGAAAATTATATTACATATATAGATAAAAATTAAAAGACCATTAACTGTCATTTTACCAGAAAACTAATATAACTCTTCTACTGGGTGAAACTTTGGATGTAAATAATAATTCTTTCAATTTGAATAAAAAAATCTAAACTTTTGGAATGTAACAAAATAAGAAGATAATCTGTGTCGTTTTATTATATTTTGCCCTTTTCAACTTGAAAAATAAAAAAGTAATTGATAAATAAATAAGGTCTAGTTTCAGAAATAAATAAGGTCAAATTATCCTTGCCTTGTTAACATAAACTTTTCCTAGGTTTTGACCAATTGCTTCTGTATCTTCCGTCACCAACTGATCGAGCATCTCTTCAGTGAGCATAACCAGCTGAAAAAATTACAACAAATATTTTCCATGTTCTTTCCTTTTGGCAATTTCTATTTTTTACCTCCTCACTGTTCTGGAAGAGGGTGAAATGATCTTGCGAGGACAGCAAATCTTTGCGGTCGGCGAGAGGCACGAGGAATCGGTCGACGCCGAAGCGCATCGACAGAGCAAAGTTCTGCAGTCGCTGCAGCAGCTGGTAAACGGCCCTTTTGCGCGCCTCGTCGGCGCTCAACACCGCCTGCGACCAGAGCACCAAGATCTTTTTTCATTTTTGTGGTGCGTGTTTTTGACACGGCGGTAGCAGAATGAGAAGCGACAGGCACATATATAAGCATGCGAGGCAGGTACACTCATCCGAGGTGTACTTTTTACGACTTTCATCATGCATAAGGGGACATTTACGACTAGTGCTTAAAAACGTAAAATGAAACACGCAATAAATTAGGCATAAATTAACATAAACATCTTTTATTGATGCAAATCATAATTGAAGAACAAAAATAGCATCACAAAACGACAACTTATAATTAATAGTACACATTAATTAATCAAATCATACACATTTATATATAATTATAAAGCATTTACAAATAAAAACATGAAACGCGTAATTTTTTTCGGAAAATATAATGTATATTTACAGGCGATTACTGGCACAATGGTAACAAGGGCACTTTGATTGTATTATCGAGCAAACTATCAGCTAAACGTTTAAATGCATTACTTAAGCTAAGAAAGCGCAATTTGCCAGGGGGCAAGTGTGTGTCGTATACACGGGGGGACATCAAACAATGACGCCGGAACCCACCTCGGTGGAGAAGGTGACCTGCGGCAGTTGCAGTCTTCGTCTCAGGTCGGAGGTGGTGGCACTGCAGTCGGTCACCGAGGCAGAGCGCCGAGTGGCCGGCGGTGGCATGGGGGCGGGTGCGGTCGTCGTCTGCTGCAGGACCACCCCGTTGGGGGTGGTACGACGGTACACCTCAAGGGTCAGGTTGTTGCCACTCAATCTAAAACAATTAAATTTTTGTGGATTGAATTAATTATTAATCTCTTATAAAGTTAAAAAGTCTGAACAGGAGTTCATTTTATACTCTGAATTAATTTTTAAACCTTTCATTTCATTAATTTATTTTGGCATTATAAAAATTTAAAATTCTTACATAACTCTTCTCAGTGCTAATTTAAATTACCCAATAATTTTAGCCAAATTACCCGGTTGATTTTGAGCATGAGTTTTGTTAAATTTTGGAAAAATGAAGAAAATATTTTAAAAATTTTCTTATCACAGGTTATTAGTATTTTATCAATAAAATAATTTTGAAGTTTCTTTTACTTAAAAACGTTTAAATACTAATTTGTATTCGAGGCCAGTGCAATCTAATTGTCCAAACACATAAGCAATTAGTTCAATTTGCTGACGCGTTCATTTCATTTAGTAAAATCGTGGTTTGCGTTGCGACGGAAATTGTTCCAAAATAATGCAATGTTTGTTTATTTGGATAGAAAACTCCCACGGGAGCGGCATTTTGCGTGAAACAATTTTGCTGTTATTCAAATTTATTCGGAAAAGCTTTTTCGCCCACGAAAAAAGTATATAGATACGCGTGTCCCTCAACAACCGTTCCGCCATGCGACCCTCACGGGAATGCGTTGCGGAGGCTGCACGCAGAGATTTATTCATCAGCATCAAAATTTCACCGCTCTGCGCCAAAAACGGTGGCTGCGCTTTAATCGCCCAGCCGAAATTTACGTTTTCCGTGGGCGAACCGATTGGCCCCGGGAGAATGAACGTGTTTCTCGATATTCATCTCGAGGGCTCGGAGCCAACGCAAATCACGGTCCAAATCACCCACTTGTTTGGCTTCGCTTGACGCCACCACTCAACTCGAGACGCGAAACAAGTTTTTAAACACCCCTTTCACTGCTTGTTATTTTTTTAAAGACGATTATCTCCGATTAGTTTTCCCCTTGAATATTAAATACCAGCACCCTCTGCCAAAAGGAAAAGTTTGCATTTACTTAGAAAGACTCGTTATTGGGAACATAATTTTTTGGTAAATTAATCTTACCTGATGAGATTCAAGATTGCGTCCTCGGGCATGGTGACCACGTTCTGATTTTCAACGAAAATTATGTAGTCTCCTGGTCTCATGCCAGCCTTGTCTGCGGGGAGCCCAGCTTCAACCCTTTCAACTCTGAATACACACAAGAAATTCAAATAATTAAATTCAACAAAATTTCAGCTGACTGTAATTTTAATGGAAGTGTGTATAAATAAATAAATATTACATTTATTTTAAATAATAATATTTTGTAATTCCGTGATTATGTAAATATAATGTACCAGAACAACAAAATTTGAAGTTATTCAAGCCATTTTCACATGACTTACTTGCTTACTTGAAGTATGTAGCCATAAGTAAATTTATTAAATCAGTAATTTAACATATTATTGATAAGGTTACCTATATCTCTAGTTTAAAAAGCATTGTAGTTATTAATCAAATGAATAATTCAAAATTTTACAAAAAAAAAATGATTAAAAATACATATTTTATAATAAGTTAATTATTTTGCTATTATATAAGTTGTTGTAAGGAAAATTATTATTGAGAATTCTGCTGAGTTTATAATACTTGTCAAGTAGAGTTTTGGATCTGATCTCCATTGCAATTTTTTTTCTTTTTCAAATTAACTATCACTGTATCGTCCAATTAGATCAAAAGTGTAAATAATTTAAAATAGTTTTCTTTCTCATGAAATAAAGATGGAATTAGAAGCTAAATCTAGTTAAACTGTTTTTGAATAGTTAAAACAATTTTCTCAACAAGGGATATGTCCAGATTTTCATTTTCCATAGATTTCTTACCTTGGTGGTTGTGTCCAGGCGACAGAGAAGCCGAAGCCGGAGCCAGACTTGCGCACCAGTTTCCTGGTGTGAGTGAAGGGCGTCCTGCCCGAGGCCGAGCTCGGCCTGTGTCCTTCCTCGGGAGGTGGTTCCAGCTCCAAGTGACATAAAAAGGTATTGTCCTCAGTTTGCGTGCCTGCGGGCAACAAAAATCTCGTTTAGCGCAAATGTGCGGCGCGGAATTAAAAAGTGAGCCCTCCGTGCTGACAGGAGGGCTCTCGCGGGAAAAGCAAAGCAAACGGCACTTACTTGGTGTTGAGAAGGCTTTTCTGCAGCCGGAGCGCCTCTTGTCGTGACCTAGAAACAAACACGCGGTCGGTCATTTGGACGTCTCACATTTTAAATGAAGTTTTTGCTTCGAGATATTAAATAATAGTCGCATTTCACTATTAAAGAATTAACTTACGTCTGGGTGTGACTCCATCATTCTCGCGCGCATCGTCGATGCTCGAGTCCGACGCGTGTTCCGCCATTTCGGTGATATTTTTTGCTCCTAGAATAATTAATTGAATAAAATATAAGTGGTTTGTATTAATACATCACGAAGTCTTTATATATTAAAAAAAATGTTTCTGACTGGGAATGAGTGATTTTTTTCAGTTGTATATTTGATTCCTAAAAATTTTTAGAAGTCTGTTTAAAAAAAAATTAAAATTCCTTTTAATCTCTGGGGATATGAGAAATATTTGGAATAAAATCTTATATTGAGACAAAATATAATTGGTTGATGCAAATTCTTATTTGTTCAGCGTTAACTATTATTCATAATTTTTTTTTATAATTTATTAATAAACTGAAATTAAGAATTCCACCAAAGATCTTTCCTTAATTTAATATTAAAAAAAAAAATCAGATATTTTTGTATCCTTACCTGGTAATTGGCCACTGGATTTGGAGACTGCTACGTTCTGGGAGCGACCTGTGCTCGGAGAAAGTACCAAGAAAGACCCTCGCACGTCCTGCAATCAATCAAATAGTCTGGGTCAGAGGCCACGTCTCCTAATCAATTATCTCCTCTAATTCAAAATGAAGCTACTCGTGTTTGAGTTACGTCGTGTTTTTCGCACAGGGCTTCCGCTCCAAGGGCAAAACAAACCCGCCGTCAAATCTGTCACCCGGGAAACGAATTAGATAAAATGCAGCAACACGCCGCGAGTGCAAACAACAGCAATTTGTTGCTCCAGCCGTTTTTCACCGAAAGTCACGCAAACCAATTTGGCCAAGTGAATTTTTCATTTCGGGAATTATTTATGGGCCCATTCAGATGAACCGACGAGGGGTGGCTAGGAATGCCGCCACTAACGCGCCATTAAAAAAGTGAAGCCCGGCTCGAGGTGAATATACATCGCGAGTATCGACCCCGAAGCCCTCCAAAACGTCACCCGTTGCTCCACTATTCCAAAATTCTCACAGGTCTAGATCGCTCTTTTCTGATGCAATCATTTTGTCTTGCTTAAAAGGGTGGAATGAGGTGTTGGCTCGAGAAAAACTAAAAAGTAGATATGTACAATGTTAATTTCGGACACCACTCGTTTTATAGATTGAAAACCTTCAAATGTATGTATAAAAAATTAAAAATCAACATATTTTTTCCATAAGAAATTAAAATATTGAAAAATGTTCATGAAAAAAAAACATAAATTGTTTTCCTTTTTATGTATGCAGGCAATTAAAAATGAATGAATATTCTGATAGGTTCTTAAATATGAAATAGACTCATAAATTTTACAAATGCGACAAACTCTTATTAGGGGCTTATATGAGTTTATTATTTATTAGAATAATTCTGTTCAACAGAAGCAAAAATCGGAGTGGAAATGAGTCCAAAAATTTTAAGATCCTTAACTTTGGTTCGCATTAATTTCCATAGTAATCAAAAATTTAAACAAACTCAAAGCCTTAAAGCCAATGCCTGGCCAATCGTTTCTTGAAATTGGAACGAGCAGAGCGCTGTGACATTTGCACACTTTTTAGTGTCGTTACAGCCCGGAATTTATGGTTATGGCCAGATTAAGACGACGACTCTGCGAGTTAATGCCCGCAGACGTTGCGAGCAAGAATTTACTCGGTTGTTTCATTTTGTATTCCCGGCCGTGCCGACTGGAAAGTTGTTTTTTCCAACTCATGAGAGGAGCGAGGAGCGAGCGCGACTTGTTGAAAAGTTAAATTGTCATCGCCGGCTTTGCACTCCGGAAATAATTTCGCACGAGTTACAATTCCGTCGCAAGAGTTGAAAGTTCTTTTCTTGTAGGCGCTGACAAGTGAGATTTCTTGAAAGTTTATTTCCACAGGACTGCCACAGGATAAAAAAAGATAATTAAAAGAAATATGAATTTTATGAATATTCCGAATTTCTATATGACATAATAAACATTATTGGTATTTAATTTTATTCAATCTAATTTTTTTTTGCTCTTTAAAACAATCATTTAAGTTGAATCAAATTTGTAAATCAGAAATCAAAATTACTTCTTTGATCACTTTTAATTTTAAAAATGCGAGAGAACTTTTTTTAACTTTTTGTAGAGCATAGATCGAATCTTGTTTGGCTCCTATCGTGGAATGGAATAGAGAAGAAAGCTTGGCTGGCAGAAATTGGAAACGCGTGTAAATTTCCCAGGACGCCAAACGCAGGAATGCTCCGGCGTTCTCATTTGGCGAACGCTCATTTATTTGCCTGCGCTCCCCAAGGACGCCACTTCCGGACGAAGCGCATTTATTTTTCATTTTATTGCACGTCGCCTGCCTGCCTTGTTTGGCCATTTTCTGAAGCAAACGCTCGGGAAAACACGCTCATTTCTCACTCACTAAGCAGTCCCAGAAGGCGCCACTTAAAACCGCATTTGCATTAAATCAATAGCAAGCTCGTGCAGTGGACGCCAAAATTTCCACTCGCTCTCGTTCTCAACCACCTTGCGATTTTCCCGCAGATAAAACGCAGATTTGATCCGGCAAAAAGGGAAAGTTTTGCTGTTAATTTTCCAGCAACACGAGAACCGGCAATCGAGTGGCCTGGCCTGCACGTGGCCGTATTTCCGGAGAGGAATAAAAAGTTGAAAGAAACTTGCCGGCCTCGTTCTTGTCCTCGCACGATTTTCGTGCACGTTCCTCAGGGAAGCACTACAAGTGTTAGAATAATTCACTCTTGATGATTGTGCTGTGCAAAAAGAAAGTGTCGGCACCGCGTTTGGTGAGAAACTTTGAGGGCATCAAAAAGCACTCTGCATTTGATTTGATTGAAACGAGCATTGATATGAATCTGTTCACCGATTTCATTCAGCTTTGTAAAATAAAAAAAAAATGCGATATAAATCCTTTTTATTTATTACTCATGCTTTCAAATACATGGAATTGATAAAATTTATGGAGTTATAAGTTCCAAAGTTTCTTCAGCGGAAGTCATTTTTGCACCGGTCTTATCAGGTAATGGCTTCTGTTCAGTAAACTTTGGAAGTTAAAAAGTTTTCAAAAAATAATTTATATCCAGCAGTGTTGAACAGAAAAGAATAATAAATTATTTCAGGACTAAAATATTATTTAAAAAATATTTTATAAAACAATAAGGATTAGTAAAAATTGAAATATCTATTATTCCTAATATAGGAAAATTTAAACTAAATTTAAATAACTATTTTGCATTTAAATCTTTTCTATGGTGCAGGTTTTATGCAAATTTCTCTATGGAATTGCGTGTGATTTGCTGGCGTGGCAGGCTTGTTTGGTCTCCCGGGGCTGGTGTGAGCTTCCTTTTTTTTAATTTGGCAAATGCACGTGCATCCATAAATAAAAAAGATAAGGAACGGCGAGCGGCTTATCGCACGCGCCACCACCTCCGTGCGGCAGAGGCATTGATCTGCGGCTCTGGCGAAAATAGATCGAGGAGGCGAAATGGCAGGTGGTCTCGGCGCTGTACTGAAAGTGTTGCGACCACGCCGGCTGAGTTGTAATTGACGTCGTCGCGGGTCAAAGAAAGGGCGACCTTTAGGCAAAGCTTTATAATGTCCTGCCATTATCGCTCGCATTGTGAGAGGAGTCGCGTCGGCCAGACGACTTTTCAAAAGATAAAATCAAAACTTTTCGCCTCGTCAGGAAGGCGGACGAGCGTTTTTCTTCCGAAGTTTATTACACTTGCTGGAGAACTTCAGTTCTCGGCGGCTATTATTGACTGACGGAGGGATATTCTTAGCCCGGCTGCTTTTTATGAAAAAGTTCTGGAAATAATCACTTGCGACAAGAATCGTCGTCTGTAAAGAAACTTTGCAGGAGTGTGATATGTTTCCTACATTTTTTTTTATTGAATAATTTTTTATTTAATTGAAAAAAAAGCTTTTTTATTTCAGAAATGAATTTATGCGATTGTGTTCATGTTTTCCCTTCATTTTTACTTGTAACGAACGGAAAATAAATAAATTGGATAAATTGGAAATATTAATTAAATATGACAATTTTATTTCGACTAAAATTTGATCCCCTCCGCGCCAGCTGGCCGTGCAGCAATTTAGGGCTTGATGAAATTTGCAGCGAGGGCCCACGAAATTTATGAGCACCTTCTCTGCTTTTATGGGCAGTCACGTTTCGGTCCTCTCTCCAGCGGCATAAATTAATTAAAAAGGGCAAATCAGCTTACCTGTTTAAATACATCGTCGACTCCAAAGGACATGCATCCTACACACTCGCTCTTTCTGCAACAGAACAAAAAAAACACGGATTAGTTGATGTAAATGAGTAACGAGGAAACAAACAAACGAGAAAAATTTATGCAAAGAGATAGGGGGAGAAAATCTGAGATAAAAGTGCGGCCCGGCAAAGTTGAGATTGGCGGAGTGGAGTTTGTTTGGCACGCGGCCAGCCAGCGAGAGCTGAAAAATGAAGCGATGATGCAGCATCGGTGGATTTCACCTGGGAGGAATTGAGATTGACTAGCGGCGGCCGGGACCGATTTATTTATTACTCCGTCATCCACGTGCTGATTTATTTAGCGGCGGAAGCGATCTCAGATATTTATCGCGGCAGCCAATCAATATTGCACCAACGCGATTTATTAACCCTTTGAGCTCCTCGGGGGTGGATCTGCGTGGCGCCGTGAGGCTCGAAAAGTGGGGCACGGCAAATTTAATACGCAGGAGAGCAGAAAATATTTCAAAGGAAGTTTTTAGCCATTGTAACCGTCTTAATAAAATAATTTTTGTATAAAAATGGGACTTACATCATATTTTTTAGGCAATTTTGTTATAAATGATAGTTTATTAGGTTTAATATGTTAATATTTAATGAAAATAAAAGTTATTATACCAAAGAGTTAATCAAGTTAAATATTAAATTATACAGTTTACGGCGAAAATTATACAACATAAAACAAGAAATCTCAAAATTGATTTGAATGAAAAAAGTACTTTAGAACTTTTTGATAATGTAGTATTTATGGATTTAATTAAATTTTTTGGTTCATGGAGCAAAGAATTACATTTTTGAACAATTAATGAAAAATCATATTAACTCCAATATAAAATTAATTAACGTAACTTTTACACGTCACTCGTTTTATAAAAACACTTTTTTGGCTCAATTAGTCACAAAAGCAGCGTGCGTAGGCAGTCGCTCAATCTCATTGAGTGAATAATTAACCGGCAACACGAGTGATAAACATTTATTCCAGGGCCTAATCTCGGCGTGTCGATGAATTATAAATGGTGCTCAGCGTTGGCCCGACCGACAGGGGGTGGCTTTGCACCATGAATAATGTCGGCCTGGCGTAAACAACGCACTACTTGCGCTCGTCGTCTGCACAAGGTTGGCACACGATTAATATTTGAGTCTGCTGCTTTCGGGAAGACATCAAAACGGCGAGGAGGATGCACAAAAGCGGCACGCGAATTATTTATGCAGCGAAAGCAACGTGCTGAAAAATCATTGCCAAGAGTGCTTTTCAAGCTTGTACTTTGAGCCGATTCCATTCCAGCGGCTTTTGACGAAGATTCTTCTGGAAAAAGTTTCAGCGGCGAACAAAAGGAGATAAACATTGAGAGTAAATCGTCATCGCGCGCGTACATAGCAGGGCGGCGCCACACTTCGCTCTTTCCTCTAAGAACATTCCCCCATCTTTCCCGTTCTTTTCCTTCTCGTGCTTTATTAATTGATGCACTTTGCTTGCCTGCTTTTATCGTCTGGGGCAAACAGAATGCTTAATGAATGGCAGTGTAGTGAGCAAACAAAACCACTCGGTCACAAAAGGCGTTGCAGGTGTGTTTGATTTTGAGAGTCGAGAGCTGAATTGACACACCGACCGTTTGATGGCGCCGTTCCGGAAAATTGACCTCCCTATTCTATTGAGCACAGAACGAACGCCTCGATCGCGCGCAAGGGCTCGCTCGTTTCGTGCCGATGGCCCCTCGATTGCGGATCGCATTGTTTGGAATAGAGCTATAGAGCAACGGGTTCGACGAAACGATAAATATTTACCGAAACCCTCTCAAGTTGATCGAAACTGACGGACCTTCGGTAGGAACGAAAAAAAATCGTTGCCAAATTCGATTTTTTTACACAATTTAAATTTAAAGTAATACATCTACTTTAATTTTTAGAATAAAAACTAATTATTCATAACAAATTCAAATTTTATATCTACAGAAATTTAGATTATGTAACATAATTTTTATTAAAATATATCCAAAATATTTTTATTAATATCAATGTAACTAAAGAAGGTCAACTTGATTGATCGCAATGTTATAGATTTACTATGAAATTGTAAAACTAAGAAAAAAATCAATACTTTATATAATTATAAGCTAATTATATAAATTAATTAAATAAAATTAACAGAAAATAAGCCAATTATTTTTTTACTTTTTAGTGCCAATGATTTGATTCCAGTGGAAAAAGGCGGAGTATTAAAATTCACGTAATCCAACCACCGGCAATTACACAATCATAAATTGCACAGATACGGGTCGGCAAATGATTCTTTCAGGCAAATTTGGCACGCGCATCGTCATCAAATCTCGACTCTCATCAAGCCAACAGCTTCTGGCACCGGCTGCCCATCTGCAAGTGCCAATTTCCGGGTGCCAAATTTCTGCGAACACAGCTGAGAGATTTTCTCTCGGCGGCGAAGACGACGAGCGAAAGCAAACAGGGAGCTGCTCTCGACGCGACCGCAATTACCACCGTAGCCCCTGCGAGCTGGGCAAATATGCAACCGGCGGCGCCCGGCTGCACAAAGCGCTGCCCAACTACAAAAGCCGGCAGGGGCCAAGCTGGATTAAAAATGGGTGGAAAAGAAAAAGAAGAAGCTCCGGCCAGCTTGATTTTCGCGAGCACTCGTGTGCGATCTGAATACAAGAGAGTTCCATTTTATTGCGGCCACGGAGAGCGGGCGAGGATCGATACTGCGAGGTCACGCGGCGTTTCTCACCAGAAGGCACACGACGTACGTACAAGTGAAAAGCACGCTGACGAGAGACGTGAAAGAGGCACACACTTGCCAAATTTGTCGATTGAAAAGCGGCCGCCGGCGAAATGGTCGCTCGCTTGCTCATTTATTTTTTTTCTTCGCTCGCATGCGTTAATTAGAGGCGACGCTTGATTACCGGCGCTGGCTAAATATTTACGGAGGTGAAAAGCGTGAAGAAGAATGAGATTGGGATTAATTACCTGGTGCCTGGCTACGAGGGCGGCCTGATTCTATTACGCGTCACGACCAATTTGCTTGCACAAGGGGTTAATCAAACTTTGCACAAAAAGAGAGTGAATGAATTTTTTTTTTTGCTGTTGTGTAGCGAAGTATGAATTCCAAAAGAAGCCGTACCAAGTGTGATTGCAAAATTAAATTTACATCGTCGGGTCAAAGATTCGCTTAATTGAATAACAAAGGAGGGAACAAATCTGCAGCTCTTGCTCGATTTCACCGATTTGAATCTTGAAAGAAAGTAACGACTTCAAAGAGCCACTTGCAAAAGATTTTCCGTTGCAACAAGGCAGTCATAAACAAGGCTAATTGAACGTCAAAGGGCGGCCGCCGTGTATGAAATCCCCGAGTGCATCTTTCAGCACTGCTCGAAATTAATCGCCGACGATTCGAAAGATTCCCTTTGCACCCCTAGCAGTGGCGGGCGAGCAAGCGAGGGTGAGTCGTAGATGCACCTGCTCGCGAGATTTACGCGTCTGCGATACTCACATGCATGCATCCAGGCACGGGACGCGGCGGCCGACTACGCCAGACGCATGTGAAGCACCCTGAAGCGCCCCTCGCGGGCCCTAAAACGCCTCCCTGGGGGCTCCGGGGGCGGAAGAATGGCACTCACTGTCACCGGGGCGAATTTTGGCGCGACCGCGTACGCGCGACTGCTGTGGCTGCAGCAGCCCCGGCCAAAAGTTGCAACTCTACGCCAGTATGGGCCGCCGCCGATAAAAACAAGCAGGGGTGCGCGCAAGGGTTGGTAGGCCGGTCACGTGACCCCTTATTGATCCGTGGCGTCACTCACACAGAAAGAGCGAGAGAAGCGAGTAGAGGCGCCGGCACCGCCACCAGCAGCAGCACCGGAGCAGCCGAGGAATGCTGGCTGATTGTATGTGACAGAGACTACTACGCGCCCTCAAAACCTACCCCCGTCGTAGCTTGCCTCGCAGCATGCAAAGCGCCTGGCCGGACCGTCGCCAAATTATGTAGCCCACCCGATAAGCGCGTGCGATTGAATCGGTAGTTGAAAGCTACATCTCTTTTTGCCCTCGTTTCGAGTGGTAACCGGGGAAACTTCATCGTTTTCTCTTTCGCACCCCCCTTAGGCAATACGATTGAAAATGAATGGTCTTTTGATCGTGGCTGTGAAATAGTTCACTTTGAACCCCAATCTGACCGATAAAAATGCAAGTTCGTTGATTGTAACAACTGTAAAAGAATATTATTATTGGCAAAACCAAACTAAAAAATTAATTATTTTATCAAGTAAAAACTGGTAATTCTAGAAATTGAACATTAACTGCTAAAGTTAGTTAATTTTAGGGTTTACATTTAAAATTAAGCATTTACACGCGTCTGTTAAATTATGGCTAGAAAACAAACACTTTAATTTTTTAAATAAATATAATTTTTAGAAAATGTGGCTTACAAATTTTGAATTTAAATTTTAAATGTCATAGTCTTTAATATGAGTTTAAAGCTGAAAATTATTTAGTGTCAAAATCTTGAGTAATTTATATGAATTTATTAATAATGTAAATATTTATTTTCCACCATTTTCATTTTAGTGAATGTTCTAGGGTAAAATAGCCACAAATTTTCATTTATAAATGCAAAATGCAATTAGCCCCAATTACAAAGTTATAACGAAAGGCTTCATTTCTGGCTGTTGCGCATAATTAAGCCATCGTAGGCCCGTTTCGCTGTGGAATTGAATTTAAAGTCGAACCCAAGTTGCTGACGTGTTTGCAAAGTTGCTAGGGCCGGCTGGTCATCGGGCTAATTATTGTTGCGGGTGAGGAGAGGCCGCTTAACAGGGGCTTAATTACAGTCGAGGCGCCTTTGCAAAATGCCATTAAGGGATGCGGTTATGGCTCCGGGGGCGGCGAGCTCGAGATAGAAGAACGTCTGGCGTCGCGTGAATGTCACCCTAGGCGGCAAACACAACACACCGTAATATATCGCGAAGCCATGATTTTATCAAATTCGCATGAAGACTATTTTGGTCCGTGTAGGCTATCAAATCAAGGGAAATAATTTTGGGAATCGTGTCACCATCTTGTGTCAAAATTTGTACTGTTTTGCAAAACAGGCACCTATAAATTTGTCAGTTTGAAATTTAAAAAATATGAAAGAGAAAAGCTAGTTAAATTTTAGCATTACGGTGTTTTTTTTATATGGTTTGCTTATGTAAATATGTTTTTAGGATTCAAAACGCACCGCAAGATGCCAGTACTAAAATTAAGCTTCCATTCTCTTGCTCACAGGCGCTTTCTTAGTTTCCTCTCGGTAAGTCAAACAAAACCGCCGCCTAATTGAGGCGCATAATTACTCGCACCCTCCATCCATCCCTTTCTCTCGTCCGCAGCAAAGGAAGATGAGAAAAGCGAGAAAAGCAAAGCCAACTCACCGGTGTTTCTCTGCCCGCGGGCGCAACCACACTGAGACGAGCACCCTGCATTCGTTGGCCACTTTTTCCTCAGGGTCGAATTCGAGCGAGAACTTCTGGTCGAAGCGGTAAATGGGACAACCAGCAGGTCCTGAGGCAGGGCGACGCACGTTTGTCCTCTGCGTCTCACCAATTGGACCGCCATCACAACCTTTCTTGGGCAATACACAAATCTAAAACCATAAATAAAATTTGATTAAAAATTCTGATAAGGAAAATTGAAAAAATTTTACTATTTATTAATAAAGTCAAGTTTATATAAAATATTTATTTGAAATGTTTTTCCGTCTATTTATTTTCAATTTTCATGTCATGAAAATCCTTACCTTCACAAAAGCGCTGGCTGGCTTGCCAGGATCACGTTGGGGCAGATTAGTGGCACTTATCACTGCAATGGGCAAAATAAGACTTGTTAGAAGATGTCATCAAATAAATAGCACGCTCCCTGGCGTTTTCAATTATTTATTACTCACCATGAACAGTCAACAAGCCGGCATTTTTGTACAGCGACAGCTTCAGCTCGCCTGGGAAACATAAAAATAATTTATTTATTGAGCAGCAGGAGAAACGGCGGCGCGAAAATGGCCTCTACGTGACTTTATCCGGGAGGAACAGTAAATTTGATTTCAGCCTGGCCGCCCACAAGAACGCTAAATCCATTGTGTGTCCTCACAGAGAACTAGCGAGAGCGAGCGTTTTCCATTTTACTTGGTGGTGCAACGCCAGCAGAATAAATTTACAGCTGACCGAGATGGATTTGCGAACGCCACAGTTCGTTTCTAATTTCACTTTCGCTCAATTCAAACGGGTGACATTGATTTCTTAGTGGCTTAAGTGCAAGTCATGACATTCAACAATCGCCTTGAAAATAGTTCTGATTCAGCGAGATGAGGTAGTTGAACTAATGAGGTAATGTTCTTTTTGCATCTCACCAGAAGTTTTATCATTATTTATCCCAAAGAAAATATTTATTTACTAACAATCTTCATTGTTATTAATCTTGAAATTTAAAATTAATCAAAACCCATAATGTGAGAAAAAAATTAGCTACCACTTCTAGTTACAGAACAATAATTTCACTAAAGAAAAAAAAACAAAAATACCTTTAGTCTTGGGCCTTTTCCTCTTCTTTCGGCAAGGGGTCAGGTTGAGCGCTGATCTTTGTCTGCTGGACGGAGAGACGTACGCAAGACACCGTCTCGAACGGGACTGCCTGTCTACAAGGGCAACAGGACTGTCCTTTGATTCCTGGCCTTCAAAACTGGCCACGGGCGTCTGATAAACCTCGTCTTCCTCCTTTATGTGTTCCCTGAGGACAGAATCTACCAAGGCGATGATGTCCACCCCTGAAGTGGTGGCGTTTCGGCTGGTCAGACTAGTCAGGTCAACGATCCTGGCCTGCTGGATAGTTGCTTCGCAGGTTGCACTGAGAGGAGTGAACGGTTCCATACTGGCCAAAGCGGCAATTGATTTCGTCTCCATCTGCAAAAAAAGAGTTTTTAAAATAAAATTAGAAATCTATTTAAAATAAAGCAAGAATCCCTGTATCCAAAAATAAAACAAATGAATTGAAGTTCATTTATTATTTATTAATTTAATTTAATATATTTAAAAAAATGGGTAAATAAAGTTTGTTGACTTTATTATTATTATTATTTTTTTAGTTTTTGTTCGATTTTCTCACCCTTATTTCAAATGGTGGCGTGTCTTGGTCAGCAGCCAGGGCTTTGTCCTGCTGTCTCAAGAGGGTGTGCAGTCTGTGTGAGTCCCACGTCTCGTTGAGGGCGGACACTTCGCTGTAGGCGACGCTGTTTCGCCAGCAGTTGAGCTCAGGGGTGAGTCTCGGGGTGGGCAGGGTGAGGGCAATCGACGCTTCCGTGGCCTTCAAGGTGGTGTCTGGTTCAGTGTTGATGGACGAAGACCTGGCCGAGATGGTCGAGTTGTCCGAATAGCGTCGCTGTCTCTGACTGGTGGCGACGGGCGTCTGCCCTTCCGAGTGACGCCGGGCCCTTTTTCTGCTCCCGCCACTGCAGCTGCTGGTCGAGGGACTCGGGTCATTGGTGATGGTGGTTTCGAGGGGCGAGGAAAGGTTGATGTCTTTCAGGGTGGCCATGAATTGCGACACCAGGGTGTTTTCGTTGGTGTCCACCTTTGCTGGGGGCGGCTTTGCAGGCAGGGGTGGGGGAGATTCGTCATGACTAATAATTCGCAGACGCGAAATTTGTCTGCTGATCGGCGAAACGGTTGAAATAGAGGATGGTTGAAGGTTGAAATAAAGGGGGTTGTCCACCTGGGTGGTGACGGTGGTGGCAGCGGGGGCGAGCGATTCTTCGAGACGTTTTCGTAACGCGAGAAGACTGTCCCCTAGGTCAGGACTGTAGTCAATGCAGAGGTCGGAGGGTTTCAGGGGCGACAGATTAAATTGGGGTTCAGCAGCCTTCTTTCGCTTCGGGGTTCGTTTGGGCAGCCGCCGTTTAGGGGTTGAGTGGCACGACGTGCACTTCGGCCTCATTGGATCACTACAGAAATGAAACATTTTTTCAAAAATACATTCTGACAATAATTGTGAATTACGTGATTCTGCTAAATTTACATTTTAAAGAATATAAATAGTTATTTAAAATTTTTTCCAAAATGAAGTTAACTTTGAGAGGTTGAAATTGAAATTCATTATTTAGATTTTAAAATCTACTAAAAATAAAAAATAAAATGTGCTTCAGCTGCAATAATTTTTTTGAAAAAAGCAGACTAGAAAACTGGATTTTTTAAAATGTTATTTGAAGTAAAATACAGCCTGAAATGGTTAAAAGGGAGACTTTTAACCACTTTTCCGATAATTAAAATCCACTTCTGATGACATACCCATCGTTTTCTGCATTTGCGGCTGTCTTCCCTTTAGTCATGGTCCGCCGAGATCGACTTCTCGCCGGGGTAGCTGAAAAAAGGCACTCTCTTTATACAAACGCCGCTATCACTGCAAAGTTTTAATTAAACTTTTTTGCTAGCCGCTGACACACTTTTTGAGTTACAAAAGCGCATGAACGTTAAGAGAAAAATACACCATCATATTTTTGCGCTGCATTCATTATACTGCCATACTCGGCTTTTTATGCACTTTGTACACATCATAACCGCCAGAGCAAGCGGAGGAAAATTTACATTGTAGTGCCAGCTGGAAAAAAACGAAACAGGAATTGCTCCTCGAATATTGATGACACGAACAATGCTCTGTTTTCGCCGCGAGTCATTAATTAGCTGGGTTATTCATTATTTGGTTCGTGGCCAATGGAGGAGGTAGCAAAAAAAATTAATTTTAACACTCCAGGTGCTTCCAAAAAACAATTATTCACATCTGAATATTTATTGTAGTATGGTGTAATTTTCAGATTTTGAGAGAAGCGATCAACATTTTTTTTTTTAAGGATTTGAAAATCGCAGATGAAAATGGCTAAATAAGTCATCATTATTTAAAGGCATTTGTTTTAATGTTGGAGTATTTTATGGAAATAGTTTTACATAAATATGTTAAAATGAAATAGGAGAAAAATCCTAAATGATGATTAAAAATTGTAAAAGATTTCAAAATTGTTGAAAAAAAGGCTAAAAAAAATTGAACAAATCTTAATTTTTAAGAAAAACTTAATTTTCCATCATGTAAGTGAATTTCGTTGATTTTGAGAATTAAATTTTAACGAATTTATCATTATTTTTTTTACTTTTTAAAGCAAATAGGAAAAATAAACTTATTTCCATTCCTGATTAGTACGTTTCCGCAAATAAAATAGGAAAGAGAGTGTGTGTCGCAGTTAGACGGCGAAAAAAGGAAAATCGATTCTAGATGTTGTCAGCGAAAAATGACCGCCATAAATCCTTGGCCAGAAAAATAATTCCGTCTTTCATCACGTGCCTCTCTTTACAGTCCATCAGCGTGCACACACAAGAGAAATAAATGCGATAACGCCCTCGGGGGGAGCGAAAATACATACACATACCTTTTCTCTCGGTGGTGGGCGCCCTCGGCGACGTGACCGGCGATTGGTTGGTGACGTCGCCCAAAGGTCCGCGCTGCTCCATTTCCAGTTGGTTGGCCAGCGGTCCGAAAGCCCTCAGCTTTTGCAAAAGTCCACCGGTCGCCTGCTTGTTGTCGTCCACGCGCTCCGCCGACGAGTTTTCCTTGCCGTCCTGCATCAACAATGAGAATGGGGTGGTGAGCAGAAAAGTAAGTGAAAAGCAAAAAGGAAAACGAGAGGCGGTTGGAGGACCGAAATCAGGGTTCACCTGCTCCAATCTCGCGCAACGGCCGACAAATCAAAATCACCTGCGATTCATTTCTCAGGTGAATAAATTTGGGTAATTAGTCCAACTGACTTTTAATTTTTTATTGCCTTTGATGGGTTTGAGATGGCAGGTGAGATTCTGAACAATCTTTACAATCGAATGGTGTTAGGTTGAAATTTTTAACATGAAATATATCATATGAGCTGATGGGTGGTGGTTTCTTTCACTTTTCAGCAGGTGAAAGAATATGAGTATCTGGGTCGTGTCTCAAGCAATCAATGCAGGTGTTTTGCAGACGTAATCGTAACGTCTTTTTTATCCTGATTCTTCTAGGAAATTTTGGATGTTGCTCCACCAAATTGAAAGGAAATTTTTAAATAGAAAATATAAAGTCAATGAATTACTTATATTAAGTATGAACATTATTTTTGTAATAAAGTTGACCACTTAAATAATACTTTGCAGAATTAAAAAGGGATGATTTATGATTATTTATAACAACACTGCGCCTGAAGGCTGTTTGCATTGAATTTATATAATATAAAATTATTGTGCGATATCACATTTCCTGTAACACTGAAAGATCTTACCAAAATGCAAAAAATTTATCACATTTTCGTCCAATGAAGCATTGCATTGTTATAAATTATATAATAATTGCAATAATTTTTTAATTCAATAAATACAACAGTAGTTAAATAAGCAATAAATTTTAAGTTTTAATATTAACCACTGAAAAATTACAGAATTTTAAATACATGTTAGTTTTGAAGAAATAAAAAAATGTTATAAACTACTCGCATAGTATGGTTTTATTTAAAATAATTTGAATCATATTATGTGGCTGATGGAAAATAATTTTTTAATAGAATTGCTAAATTTTTACTAACATAATGACACCAACTTCCGCTAGTATTATATTATTTCTTAAATATTTTTATTTCTTAAAAATTCCAATTCGCTAACTTTGCAAGAAAATTAGAATCGGACAGGTGAAGTTGTCACAACAATCCCGCTGAACATCAATGCAGGTGAAAAACCTCAACATCTTCCGAGCCATAATTACCAGAGACAGAAATTAATTCGCTTATCAGATCGGTCGCAAACGGCCAAGCGTCTCTGCTTTTCTTCTCACCCGTACGGACCGATTACCAGTGAAAAGAAGGGCAGGTGAAGTAGAGAAATAGGAGAAAAGGAGTGCGTTTTATTATTGCGGTCGGTACTCGGCAAAGGAATGGCCCGTGCGTGGATGCGCTCAAAAAATTTCCATCAGCGCACGAGTGGATGGGCGAGAGCGCCGTTAAATCTGGCATTTATTGCGCGATTAATTCTGCGGCGATGGGAAATTAATTACAAAAACGAGGACGCGACCCTCTCTTGGAGGAGATGCAGCGCGCAGGAGAAATGTCAGGGCGATGACAATGGAAAAGGGGAGCACTGACAAGAAATGGGCCACGGGACAGTCAAAAGAAAAATAGCGACGACCCCATCAGACCGTTACCGTTTTTTGCTCTCTTTCTCACCAAACAAATTCATTGCCTTTTAATATGTGAGGCAGCCAACACCGGCTGCAAACAGATAACAATGCGTTTCAAGATGATTCGTATTCCTTTTTCCGAGACTTGTTTCCCATAATGCATCTCTCTTCTCTCTCCTTTTGCTTTTCTGCATTGTGTTTCGCGCGCGACAAACTTTTGAAATGTGATATTCCAGTTTTCGCAACTGACATTTCCCGACCGTCGACTCGGTCTTTTTCAACCCGCACACACAACACAGTTCAGACTGCGCCGAGGAGACCCTTTTTTCCGCGGAATGAAAAAAGACAACGCACTTTTGTCACCCACGGCAAATAAATAATTCCTTTTGTCGCAGCGTCTTTTCCAAGAGATGGCTACCTTTTTTTGAGCCGCCACCCGAAAAGTTCTCTTCAAAAGTTGGGAACGGAAACTATGCTGGTAAAATGATAATATTTATCCAGCCCCAAGGAAATCCCCATAAAAAATGTACGCAACATGCAACGCAGCGGAGTGAAGCAGGTTGCATAACCTTCCCTTTCTTCCTCGGTATTATTTATTATTTGAAGAATCAATTTGATTTCTTTTTTAATTTTATTTACCTTGTAGATGGTTCTGACGATGGCTCTTTTGACTTGCATTTCGCAGGCAGGCAGCACGTGGAACCTTTCGGAAGCTCGTCGGAGGCTGCGTTTTGGTCGAGAAGTCGGCGTTTCTGTGATCTCTGGGGGTGCGACGGCTTCTGGCGGCCCTGACGAAGGTGGGGGGACCGCCGCGTGCTCGCCAACTCCGACAGCCCACTTGAGCATTGCACCTGGAACAATAAAAAAAAAATCATCAGAAATTGCAATCTCTATGCCAAATTTTTTAAATACTATTATAAAAAATATTTTTTATAGAACGATTAACAACGCTTCCCCAAGTTGAAATTTCACTCTTCATCATTGATGAACAACATAAAAGTTTAATTGAATTATGAAATTTAAATTCAACTTATTAAATGCACCGTAAGATTTCAGAAGAAAATTTAAAACTTATAATAATGAATAAGGTCCATTTTTTTTCAAAACTATTTTGCGAATTAAAAATCCAAAACCTCAGCTAACAGCTGAGATTCAGAAATAATGTTCAATTAAATTTCTTTTTCTAAATTATAAAACAGAAACTAAAATTAACCCAAAAGGAATTTGAAACGTGATATTTTAATAATTATTTGAACTAACAATTCACAATTAATGCAAAAGTTTTAAATGTTCTTCTGGAAAACAAACGTTTCATCTATTATTTTTTAATTTTCAATTTCACTTTTATCTTCAATGATCAAGGTATCATTTAAACAACTGTGCCTTGTTTATATTTTTACTACTACAACTTAAATTTATGTGCCTATTTTTAATGTTTAGATGCAGTTAATATGGAAGACGTCAAAATGAATAATTAAAAAATAAGAAAAATATCTAACTATAGTAAAAAAACGTTTATAAAAAAACAATTAAAAATTATTAATTAATCTTTGATGCTTTAAAATTTTTTTAATTTTATATTGAAAAATAGCACTTGTAAAACACTGTATTTATTGTTTATTTTGTATTATTTAACTTGCGGACTTTGCTGTTGAAAGTGTGGTCATTTTTTTTTATCAGAGAAACAAATCTCAAATGACCTGAAGAGCGGGCACACGGAAATTACTATGTGGCGTGCTCGCTCGAATGGACAGCAGCCTCTTAAAACACACACTATACTCATGAGAAACTCATTATCAGGAAGTTCGTGTTGTTCTTTTTTCTACAACTTGGCCGCACCTGAGCCTCGCCGACCAGCCACAAACGGAATAAAACTGACCTAATGCAAGCCTCAACTAAAGAGCATTCTGTAAAATACGGCCTGCTTTTATCTCTTTGTACTAAAAAAGTGGTCCGCCGCGACGCGCCGTGAATTCGCAAAGAGCCCTTTTGCGCTAAAAAACCGCTCAATAGTAATTTGTCCTCGGCGGCGGCTCTTTTGTGTAATTAGAACGGCAAAGTAAAATATAAAAAATTCTCTCCCACGGAGACACACAAAGTGGTTTCGACCGAGATTGAAATCGATCCGCGCCAATCGGAAGTGCATCCCGACTTGTTGCACACAACGACAAATCAACGAACGTCAGAAAGAAAGAAAGAGATAAAATATGAGACGCAATCACAATATTGAATGCATACACAAATCCAGCCTCTCAACCCTTTCACGTGTCACAAAGAAAACAACCGATAAATAATACTCTACATTGGTTATGATGAAGTCCGTGCGCGATAATCATGAGATGAATCTTGTTTTGTGATAAATAATCGTTACATGACGAGCTGAATGAGTGACAACTGCACTCTCTCGATCTATCTCAAGAATATCCATGTCACTATTTAGCCGAATCACGTCAGACGAGCATCTTGTCCGGTTTGGAAACAGGTGCTCGGGGGGCAGCAACGCAAACCGCATTGCATGCGAGTAGAGGCATCTCCTGCTCTCTCGCAGACAATGCCCATTCAACCGTTTATAATCACCGCATTTTTTTCAGGATAATTATTACTGCTCCGGAAGAAAGGAAAAGTTTGTTCATTACTCAAATTCGAGAGACGGGCTGACCGAAAAAATTGACAGTTTTCCTTCAGCGTTTGACGACTCGGCCCCCTTGCATTGTTCGCGGCCTGTCACTCAATTTTTCCGCCGCGCAACAATGGGCGCCGTCTTGTTTCGCCTTTTTATCACTTTCCCATGAAGCTTCGATTTTGTACCGAGTCTTTTTTTAATTAGCAAGTCAATACGTACGAGCATTCCGTTATGGTTTGCAACACAAACAATGAATTAAGCATCGCACCATCTGCGCCTATAAAAAATTTCTCGGCCCAGCGGTTGCGCTTAAACAAACGGACAATCTCTGAACTGCATTTGAAATGAGTTTTATCTGTTGATCGCAGAAATTCAGTAATTGCCAATTTAAATTATTTGTAATTGCAATAACATGCCAGTGCATTAATTCGAGCTTGAAATGTTTTTGAATATTCATCATACATATTTTTAAGGGGGAAATTTTAATTTAAAACAGCAACGATATTATGACTGCAAATTTATTATAAATCCAAATTTATTGTCAGCTAGGGCTTTGAAACTTTGAAAGATTTTTTACAAGAAATGGTTGTCAGTTGACTTTAATTTTTCTTCTTAAAAAAAAGGCAAATTTATAGACAGGATATTTACTGTAAAATATAATATTTTAAATATTTTTTACTCTATATAACGTTAGAAATAATACAAGTCTTAATGACGCTCAATGACGCTTAGGAATAGTCAACAGTTTACACTTCGTTAAAAATTATTGATATTATTTCAATTAAAGTAACCCCATTTGTACAAAATTTTATAATTTTGTTCCAAAAATATTCAGACGGTGACGTAGAAAAATTAACAAAATGATGCAAAATTCTTAAAAGAATTTACAGTTAAAACTCGTAATTTACAAATAAATAAATTTTTTAATTCAAAAGGAAAATATTTAAAAAGTAATATAATTAAATTAATGTTCAATAAAATTCCCATAATTGCAATATTCGTCTCTAAAAATATAAGTATGTGGAAAAAGGTGGGGCTCATTGTGTTTGCCTCCTCTTTGATATGTGAGCAGTTTGTTTAATAGCAAATCTGCGCCTCTCGAAGAAAATAATAGAAGCCAGGTGCAAAAGCCTCTCTTCTCGCCTTACCCCTTTCCAACCCCTTCGCTGGCGTTAAGAAAGGACACATCAACGCAACCTGTCACTCATCAAACTGACTCAACAATGCCTTTCTGTTTTTCCGCATTACACGGCAGTTGCTGTTGTTCGCCGTAGTTGTGCTGAAATTTTTTACCACTTTCCCATGCTGCATTTACGGCGAGGGTCGATTTTTAATTAGCAAGTCAATACATCACCCTTTCGCTCTCCTTGCGGTTCGCAACGTCTGCGTGTTCTCTCGGCACAAACAAAAGCTGCTCGTTTTCATTAATTTGACGCGAAACGCGGCGTGAAATGTATGCAAGAAGAAAAAACGATCTCGCACGCCGTGCGGGCAAAACGTTAAAATTCAAAAAAGTTTCTCTCCAAAATGTATATTGCACCTGGTATGCTAATCAGGACTGCAGGTGGCAGGGGGTGGAAATGCAGCCAAGCACCGCCGGCGGATTAGCCGCCGAGGCATTTACATAAATTGCTCTAGTGCCGCGTCTCGCTATTCTGATTGTTATTACATGTTGCTCCATATACGCCTGTCTGCTCGCGGCACTTGGACATGAAAATTGACTTCGGGGCCCGCTGCTGGGCGCCCAATTGAGTCGCGGTTGAGTAACGATTTGCACTGTTGTGCTCATTCATCGTGAGAAGAGGCAGGGAAGTGACGGCTGAGGGAAAGCACAGGTGCTACCAGCGCATTGGTTTTTATTTAAATAAATATAATTTTGTAAATAAAAAATTACTTATGTTTGGCTTGATACAATAAAATAATAAATCACTACTACAATTAATCTGTATAAAACATGTTCTTAAGTTTGAGTTTATAAAATATTTTAAAAATAAAATAGAAAAAGTTTGATAAAAAAAAACTAAAAATACAATAATAACATTATTTACATATTTAAAAATAACAGATATTATAAATACTATTTCAAATTTTGTACATGAAATGGTTCCAATTTGAAATTGAGAATAAATATTATAAATTCTTTTACCGTTGCTTTTACTGTTCTAATTCTACAAAATTTTGAAGCTTTCGTCTCATTAACTCCAGAGCACCAACAATTTTGAGCACTAATTTTCCAACCTTATCTCAACACGCTCATCCTTCTTCTACCATTAAAAATTTAAACTAAAAAAAAAGTACTAAAAAAGTTAATGAATTGCCTGCAACCATCAGTACCATCACACAATTACTGCACGCTTTAGGGAAACAATGAAAACGATTTCTCAGATTTCTCTGATTTTTCCAAAAAAAAAATCCAGAAGTTGGCAATTATAAGCACATTAGCGACGACAGACGGACATATGGAGTAGCGATAGAAGCGACGCAAGCACAGATATGAAAATTATTATATATGAAATAATAAAACGTGCTGCTGTGATGCGTGAAGATCGCAATCGCACCCCTTCATATGCAAGCGGCAGTTTCGCATGTCGCGCGCAGCTTTGTCTGGCAGGTGACACGTTGTTATGCAAATAGTTAATAATGCAAATGCACCGCGCGCATTATACATTTTAAAATGCATGCTGGAGAGGAAGGAAGAGACATAGGCAAGCATAAGCCACGTCTCGAATTTTTTAAAATATCCGTTACAATAAAAGCGAGAGAAAGAGAGCGAGTATCAAATTCTTATTAGCCATATTTGCATACATCTGGTGCCAGTTTCCGAGTTGTGATTGCGCGCACTCAACTCACTTACTCGGCGGCGCTCGCGCACTCACTCCGCGTCGTTTGCATCGGTAATAATAATTTGAAAAAGAAAACTTCCGGTTTTGCATACACACAAAGCGTGACTCGCCGCGCAGACACTCCCCCTGAAAAGCCCCCGAAACCACTTTACTCTGTGCTTAACTCTCTCTCTCGCGCAAAGAAAGAATGAAAGAACGAGCATTTTTCGCGTACTTTCCGTCGAGTCTGACCGCGAGTGTCGTAATTGGCCGTGCATAATTAGCCCGCTTGAAAGGAACTCGTGAAAGGGGTGCGAAGGGTTTTTGGCGCTTTTCGCTGCCCGGCTAATTGGCTTTGATTGTTATTTTTAGAGGTGAATGTAATTAATTTTTGTGTGTATAAATA